CTCACCCTCCTCCCCATGGACCTTCTTACTCACCCCTCCCCATGAACCTCCTCACTCACCCTCTCCCCATGAACCTCCTCACTAACCCTCCTCCCCATGAACCTCCTCACTAACCCTCCTCCCCATGAACCTCCTCACTCACCCCTCCCCATTAGCTTCCCCTCACTTACTGCAGCCTCTTTAGCCTGCAGGTCCCCTGAAGGACTCCCATCAGTAGCTCTATGTTCTCCTCAAAGAGATGGTTGTTAGAGAAACTGTAGAGACAAAGCAGAAGGCTCCATTCAGGCAAACGCCCTGGACAGCCCCTTTCCCCAGGCCCTGGAGAGGCACTGTCCTACCTGGCCCTTGTCCCCTGACCCTGGGGAGGCTGACTGGGGCTGAGGATAATAGTCTAGACTTTCTGTGGAGCCTCTACCCCAAGGGCGTTCCTGGCCCCAAGGGCCAAGCTCTAGGGTTCCTACAGGAGAGGTGACAGTCACAGCTGTATCAGATAAGGACAATGCCAGGTGAAGGCTTCGTATAGCTTGAGGGACATACAAGGCTATGACGACTGTGCTGTCCCTTTGTGCTTTCTGCACCCTGGCACTCACCACCAGCTGAGGCAGAGGAGGATTCAAGTCCCATTTGGACAAATGTGCCGTCCTAACCCAGGGAGAAAGACAAATCTAGCCAGAGACACCCCATGAGTCCAGGGTAAAGGCAAGCTCAGGAACACAGTGTTCAGTCTGGGGACTGCTACACTTGGTCGGGGAGAACAGAGACAGGTGGAAGCATCTCTGTCACCCTCCCAGAGGCATGGTTGTCCTCCCAGCACTGTCCTCGCCAGCCACCCCGACTTACTCCAGCTCTTCCAGATGGTGGCAGTATCTCAGACCAGATGCCAGGTGGACCAGGCTCTCTGTGCTTACGCAGCTGAAGGTCAGTCTGTTGGGGACCAAAGAGTGGCAGGTCAGGCGGAGCCCAGGCCTCCGGGAGATCTGAAGCTGATGACAGAAGCTGGGAGTGGGGCTTGGGGACAATGGGCAGGGGACACCTGTCTTCCATAAACCTCCCCGCCCTGGGCTAATTAGGTCAAGATGTGCTGGAGGCAGAAGCTGGAGGTCCCCCTTAGCCACAGTTGGACGCCGTGGGAATATCCAGCTGACCCTATATAGCTCTGCACCTTCTGGGGTCAAAATCTGATAGCTCCAAGAGGCATTGTTTGTTTGTTTGCTTCTCATCTTCTTTTCTGAGTCAGGGTCTCCCAATGTAGCCCTGACTGTCCTGAACTCACATGTAGACCAGGCTAGCCTTTAAGTCACAAAGATCCACTCGCTGCTGCTCCCAAGTGCTAGGATTAAGGGAATGAGCCACAACACCAAGCTCAAGTTCATGATCATGCATTTTTTTACTTGTTTTAAAATTTCTCTCCACTTAATTTTTTTCATGTTATCTACTTATTTATTTATAAAAAATTATTATAGGAAAGTAAGGAAAACTCCTGAGAGTGGGAGGCTCCAAGAATACCAAGTTCTCTACTATTTAAAGACTATGATTTTGTTCATTTATTTGGTGTGCGGGTGTGTCTGTGTGTATGCATGCGCATGCCATGGTGTGTGCATATGGAGGTCAGAGGCCAATTTTGGGGGGTTCTTTCCTTACTCCATGTGGCTTCTGGGGACTAAACTCAGGTTCTCAGGCTTGGAAGCAAGAAGCTTTACTCACTAACCCATCTCACCAGCCAAGAGTTTCTTGATGTACTAAGTTGCACTGACCGTCAAAAGCCTCCAATTGAGTTGGGCATGGGGGCTCATTCTAGTAACTTTAGCAGTCAGAGGCTAGGACACCAGGGTGGAGAGTTAGAGGCTAGTCTGGATTACATATTGAGACCCTGCCTCAAAATTAAACCAAACCCAACTAAACTCCATTTTGTAGTCTTCGTTCTGATAATTAATTCAGGCAAGATATACCAAAGGATGCTAAAATTTGTGGATGAAAGTCTGGATATCCTGGTTATCGACAGTCTGAAGTGATCTTCCTACAATACATGTGTCAATCACAAAAAGAAACAGTAATTTTAAAAGTGAAAGAGCATGGCAAACACCACATTTACCAAGTGACACAATTAGTGTCTGTAGTTTTTGTTGTTGTTGTTGTTTGTTTGTTTTTGTTTTTTGCTTTTTTTTCTGTGTAACAGTCCTAGCTGTCCTGGAACTAGATCTTGTAGATCTACCTGCCCCTGCCTACCAAGTGTTGGGATTAAAGGCATGCACCACCTCCGCCCGACTCTGGGAATACTTTTTTAGTTGTATGGCTGTGTCTCTAAGATCACATTTAGGATCCTGTAGCCTTAGCATCGTCTCCAGGACTCTGGGAACCTAGCACAGGGAAGGAGCAGCATCCTCTGGGCCCAGAGGTTAGGATCAGATCAGGTGAGCAGGCAAGGGGCCCTCAGTGAAAATGCAAGTCCACATACCGGAAGGTTTTGAGTTCACAGCTAGACAGCAGGAGGTTCTGCAGCAGCCTGGACTTGGTGGTGTCATCGTCACTGAAGTTAACCTGAGACAAGCTGCAAAGGGCCAAGAATCTTCCAGAAAACTGCAGGTTGGACACACTTTGGGGATCCCCATGAGAGAAGGACCCTCTAAGAGCTTTCCTGGGTATCCCTGAGTCTACGACCCTTGGCCTAAGTATGAGTCCCACTCCCAGGGAAGTGAGAATATGGGGTGAAGAAGACACTGGGGTAACCAATGAACTTGAAGCCACCTCTAGTGTTGGAAGTGCCAACCTGAGCTGTTGCAGTCTGGTACATGTCTCCATCAACTGTCTCATAAGAAGACTGTGGTCAGTTCCCAGGTCACAGTGAGCCAACCTGGAAGCAGAGAGAAAAAGCCACAGTTTCCACAGGGGGTCCCGTCCCTGCCTTCACACTCATGATATAGGGTAAGTACATATCAGTTAAAGGAAGTCTTGAGTTTACTACCCAGTTACAAGCATCACTGGGAAGGATGGTCCAGCTGGCATGCCCAGGCAGATCATTGACTACACAAGGGTGGGCATGCAAACAAGGAGATAAGTTGGGGCTGAGATCCAGTCACGTTCCATGCTCCACGTCCCCAGAATGTATGCACGCAGAGCTGTATCCACTCAAAAGAGGGAACATTTCAATTTCCAAAATATGACATTTGGATTGAGAGGTCATCAATCTAGGCATCCATGAGGGTGGAGAGGGGGAGGACTTGGCCAAGTCCTGGCTGTCAGGAGTCATGGTTGAGATGGGGCATTTAAGATGAGACTTGGAATACGAAAAAGTAGAACCAGATATAAGAGGAAGAAAGAAGGCAAGGAAAAGACATTCTGGACAGAAGCAAGAGCCTGTGCAAAGGGCCTGAGGCCAGAAAGGGCAAGGTGGTGTTTGATAATTGAAAACTGCTGAGAAGGAATGGGGCTGTCGGGTTGGAGCGCGATGGGGAGTGACAGAGCAGACCTCCCAGGACGTGGAGCGACCAAACAGCACAAGATGCTGAGCAGGGGCTATGGGAAATACTGGCCCCAAGCAGGGCCACCTCCTGAGCCTTGCCACCAGCCACTCCCTGGAGGCCCCTGCTGCTGGGTCCCACCTGTTTGCCATGGCCTCGGAATTGTCTTCCTGGTGAGGAAATTCCAGCCAGAGCCACAGCTGGGTCTCGGAGAGGCTGAGGGAAAGAAGAGGTATGGTGAGATGCATAGCTGCTTGTTTGGGCAGGTTGACTAGGTCTGAGTCTGCCTGCTCTCTGACTGGGATGGTACAATGGATCCTCCAGCCTCAAACAAGGGCAAAGACACTTCAAAAATGGCAGACTATGCCGAGAGCAGCCAGCACCGTGGTGAAACCCGTTACTACACGTGATCCACCCGAAACCTTGCTCCCGTCATTGAACATCTTACTGCACCCCGGTGCCACTTCTGGGTAGCCAGCATGGACCTCCAGCCATGCCTGCCTGGACCTCGAATCCTGAGTTTCCTTCCTCTGACATTGTGGCCTGCCTACTGCACAAGACTATACAAATAAGTATATAGTATATCAATGCGTATAGCTCTTCAGGCATAGCCAGAAGTCTCCACCAGTGACAAAGCTGTTAACCTACAGGGCAATCACCAATGTCTAGAGGACTGAGGATAAAGGAAGACTGCAATAGTCATAGAGTGGTGAATTCCCAGGGGCTCTTCCCTGATCTCACCTTAATTCAGTGAGGCATCCTGAGGCCTGGGCACAGACTTCCACCACAGCTGGTAAGCTGATGTGGCCCACCCAGGGCTCTTCCAACCTGTCATGGAAGGACACAAACAAGGACCCCTGAGGTGAGCATCAACCTATACCTGAGCAACACCTGGAGGAGGGGTAGTGCCATGGGGAGCCTGGAGGATTGTGTGTGTGTGTGTCTGTGTCTCTGTGTGTATGTGTGTCTGTTTATGTATGTGTGTGTGTCTGTGTGTGCATCTGTGTGTGCTTGTGTCTGTATGTGTGTCTGTGTATGTGAAAGAGATTTTTAAATTATAAAATCAGGATTGAGGATGTACTCAGTTGGTATAGTATCTACTTAGAGTACATGCAGCCTTGGGTTCCATTCCCGGCACCACAAAAACCAGGTGTGGTGGTGCACGCCTGTAATCTCACCACTCAGGTGGTAGAGGCAGGAGGATCAGGAGTTAAAGGTTATTCTGGGATACATACATCTTGTCTCAGAAAACAAAACAAAGAACCCAGATAATGGGGGTATAGATATAATAAAAACATTTTAAACACACATGAACATGTTATAATGAAACCCATTGTTATGATAATTAACATATATGAATAAAACAAAATAATTTATGCATTTAGTCATATGTGTTATGGGCCCTGTATGCTTGTACGGTACTACTCTGCCATTGTCATCTGCATTAAAAGGGAGATTAATTATATATATATATATTTATTATTATTATTTTTTTTTGGTTTTTCGAGACAGGGTTTCTCTGTGGTTTTGGAGCCTGTCCTGGCACTAGCTCTGTAGACCAGGCTGGTCTCGAACTCACAGAGATCCGCCTGCCTCTGCCTCCCGAGTGCTGGGATTAAAGGCGTGCGCCACCATCGCCCGGCATGATTAATTGTTTTATAAAAAGTTCTTTTTTAATTAATGTTTTTTTTTTCCTTTTTTTTTTTTCTTTTGAGACATGGTCTTGTTTTGTAAGGCAGGCTGGACTCAAATTTTTATTTTTTCTTTTTGACAGCCAAATCTTTATTAAGGGAATGGGTCTCTAGGGGTGGAGGGTGGCCCTGGGGCCCTCACTACAGCTTGTTAATCTTCACTGTCTCCAGAATCCTGTGGCTTCATCGCACACGGACACTCTGCAGGGCTGGAGAAGGGCTCAATGTGCAGGGCTTCGAAGGCATCGCCCTGTCGGAAGGCCAGGCCCACTGTGGCTGGGTCCTGTGGCCGTGCTGTCAGGCTAGTGAAGCCACGCTCGCCCAGAGTTTTCAGGCAATCTTTCTGTTTCAGCTTCCCAAGTGCTAGGATTATAGGTGCTTGCCACCAGGACGGGCTCAAAATTATTTGTTTGTGTGCTTGTGTGTGGGGTGGGCGTCCCTGTGTCATGAGCACGTCACATTCATCACATGGGGGTGTGCGGAGGTCAGCAGGTAACCTCAGGAGGCAGTCCTCATAGTCTGTATTGTCTGACACGGGGGCTCTGTTCTCCACTCCATAAGCTAGGCTAGGCGAGCAGAGTGTTCAGGAACGCCACTGTTCCCAGCTCCCATCCTCTTAGGAAGGGATGCAGGGATTGCAGACGCCCGCCGTGATCAGCTTTACACAGATCTGGAGATCCTCATGTTCACAGCCATCTCCCTGGTCCGAGGGTATTGTTTTTAAACAATGTGTGTCAGGTTTAACACAAGTTGTTATGTGGTAAAGGTAATGAAACCAAAATATACCTAACTATAACTCTAATTTTTTTATTTAAAGGAAGGAAGATGTGTATGAAGAGAGGAGAGGTGGAGTGAGATGCAAGGAAAATGTATAGACTATTCTGGACACTGGTGCGAAAGCGGAATTTTCATGAGTGATTTTATTTTATTTTATTTTTGTTTTGTTTTGTTTTGCTATGTTTTTCGAGACAGGGTTTCTCTGTGTTGTTTTGAAGCCTGTCCTGACACTTGCTTTGTAGACCAGGCTGGCCTCGAACTCACAGAGACCCGCCTGCCTTTGCCTCCTAAGTGCTGGGATTAAAGGCATGCACCACCACCATCTGGCTCTTCTTTTCTTTTTTAAAAATGATTTATTTATCTTTATTTTATGTGCATTGGTGTTTTGCTTATATGAATGTCTGTGTGAGGGCACTGGATTTCCTAGAACTGGAGCTGCCCTATGGGTGCTGGGAATTGAACCCAGGTCCCGTGGAAGAGCAGTCAGTGCTCTTAACCAATGAACCATCTCTCCAGCCCTTGATTTTGTTTTTTTACATTTTCTAAACTTTGTTTGTTTGTTTGCTTGAGACAAGGTTTCCTGGTGTAGCCCTGACTGTCCTAGAATCACTTTGTAGACCAGGCTGGCTTTGAAAACTCCGAGATCTGCCTGCCTCTGCCTCCCTGAGTGCTGGGATTTTAAAGGCATGCACCACCACTGCGTGGCTCATTTTCTAAACTTTGTACAAAATGCACAAATGAATATAGTAGCATGAAAAAGAGCTATTTAAAACATTCCTGCTTTACAGTTCAGTTGCATTATTTTTTTTTTAACATTGTTTTCCTTTATGCTCATCTGGATTTTCTGCCAAGTTTTAAAATGTTACTTTGGGGCTTGGAAAGTTTTATTTTAAGGCGTGAGTTGGGTGATCTAGGAAAGAACTGGACGCGGGGCACAGAGTCACATTTGTACACCCACATTCACAGCGCGGGGCTGAAGGGCAGAAGTACCCCAAGTGCCCATCAGCAGATGAAGGAGTAACTGTGGAGACCCATCTGCTGGGCTCGGCCTGAAACGGAAGTTCTCACACCTCCAGCAGGCTCTGTGAAACACGCAGTCACAAAAGGGTCAATACAGCATGATTCTATGGACAGGAAGGAACTGGAGGAGTCTGGTTCAGGGATTGCTCATGCCAGAGGCTGGGGAAAGTGGGATGTGAGGAACTGTTCACTGGAGATAGAACTTCAGCTTTGCAGGATGCCAGGGTGAAAGTCTTTAATACTTCTGAGCTGTACACTTAAGTGTGTTATGGTGGTTAATTTCTTTTATAGTTTTACCTTTTTCATTATTTCACTTTTTGTATCTGTCTGTCTGTCTGTCTGCCTGCCTGCCCGCCCATCTGTCCGTCCATCCATCCGTCCATCTATCTATCTATCTATCTATCTATCTATCTATCCATCCATCCATCCATCCATCATCCATCCATCCATCCATCCATCCATCCATCTATCTATCTATCTATCTATCTATCTATCTATCTATCTATCTATCTTTCTTTCTATCTTTCTATCTACCTATTTACTTTGAGACAGGGTCTCATGTAGACCAGGCTAGCTTCAAACATTCTAGGTAGTCAAGGCTGTCCCTGATCTCCTGATCCAGGAATTACAGGCTCCTGACAGTACTCATGGCTGATTTTACTATCATTTTAAGAAATGTGAATTTTTTTAAATATTTATTTATTTAGTATACAATATATCCCTTTAAGCCAGAAGAGGGCACCCGACCTCATTACAGATGGTTGTGAGCCACCATGTGGTTGCTGGGAATTGAACTCAGGACCTTTGGAATAGCAGACAAAGCTCTTAACCCCTGAGCCATCTCTCCAGCCCCAAGAAATGTGAATTTTTAAATCTTAAAAAAAAAAAGGTAAAGGGCTGGAGAGATGGCTCAGAGGTTAAGAGCACTGGCTGCTGAAGCTTGCCATGTAGGCTTAGGCTGGCTGGCCAAGGAGCCCCAAAGGTCCTCCCCATCCCCATCTCCTCAGTGTTGGGAATGCACCCCTCCTTTCTTTCATGGGCTTTCAGTTCTGGGGCTGAACTCAGGTCTTTGTGTGGCGAGGCAAGCATTTTACTGACTGAGCCATCTCCAGCTCCCAATCCTTGCTTTTAAAGAGATTCACGGTGAGATGTTTAGAAGAGGTATTTTTATGAGGTCTGTGTTTTACTGTAAAATACTTTAGCTAAATGAATGTGAAGTAAATTAGGAAGAAAATGAACAATTATCAAACACAGGAAATGGAATATGGGTTTAAAAAGATTACTTTCTCTCTCTCTCCATTTTAGTGTGTTCTTTTTCTGAACGCTTTTACATTATGGTGAGAATATAAGCATATTTATTTTGTGTTCCATTAGGTGTCCTTCAGAACTTTTTTGGTTATTTTTAAATTGATTTTAATTATTATTTCCTTTGTGGTGTTTGAGATGAAACCCAGGACTTCATGTATGCTCGACAAGCACTCTGCCAACGGACTATACACAAAGCATGATTTATGTTTTTTAAACCCCAAAGCATAGCCTTCCTCTCCTCAGGGACAGTTTCTCTGTGTGCCTGGGATGGCTCTGGGGCAGAGAAGTGGGTTCTTGAGCACAGGGAATGGCCGGGCTGTGACCGTGGGGATCCCATCTTCCTCAGCTTCCCCACTCCCCGCTGCCAGTGAAGGAGGGTACCTGAGGCCCAGCAACCCTGCTGGTCGATTCACCAGACTCAGGAGGTTGGTCAGTTGTGGCAGGTCCAAGTGGCACCTGGTCAGCCTGGGGACAGAGATCAGTTACTGGTATGGCTCAGGCAGGCAGGGAGCCCCACTTCTCAGTGTCCCCACACGCTGGGCCTGTCACTCACCAGAGCTCTGTCAGCTGTTGGGCCTGGCTCAGGCTGGTAGCCAGTCTGGATATGTGTTCTGGACTGAAGCTGCACTCACATAGCCTGAGGGGAGAAAGCAGGGCAGAGCCTGAGGCTTGTGCTGCCGGCCTCTCCTCCTACGCTTCCCAGAGGACACAGGCCTATGCAAACTGACGGGTGCTGGGGACTGCCTTAGGAGCTGGGAGTCAGTCACCTGTGGAGCCGTACCACACGGGTAGGGCACAGGGCGCCTGCCTGCTATGCCCGCTATACATCTCATTTAGCCCTCATGGTACATTATAGGCAGCCACGGAGTGACCCCAGCACACTGCTGCTGGGCTGTTTCTGGGGAGGAAAAGCTGACTTCTGCAGGGTCCACCAGACTCTGTGGCTAACTGGGTAGTTCAGGCTATCTGTGTGGAGGGTGAGCCTGGGCAATGGTTATGGCCTTGCCCTCCACTGCCTACAGGTAAGCTAAGTCTTTTGTCCCTGAAAAGGGGCTGCAGGACCCCGAAAAGGTTCACTCTGATATCAGGGCCACTGGTGCTCGTGCCTCCAGGAGGGGCTGCCATAGAAGCTGGCCTTAAAGGGTTGAGAGAATTTCCTCTGAGAAACAGCAGGAGAAAAGAATGCTAGACTCAGGGCCCATGGTGAGCAGTGCGGCAAGGACCTCATCAGGCAGGGAGTGCTGGAAGATGGAGAGCAAAGGCCGTGTACGTGTGTGTGCATGCGTGCGTGTACGTGCAGGTGTACACACGTACTCTCATGCACTGTATGTTTATGAGAGCATATATGTATTAGTGTATATTTTGTGTGTATAGTCTTATGTGTGATAGTATGTGTAGGGTGTGTGCATTTTTGTATCTAGTACATGTGTGTACTTTGTGTATTGTATAATATGGTATAATGTAGTTTGTGTGATGTTGGGGATGGAATAAAGACATCAGTGTTCATTAGGAAACCAAACCTGGGTTGTCAGAAGTTCATCTTAGGAGAGAACCGGTGAGGAAGGCATGGGTTCCTCACAGATCTGAATCTCTGTCTTTTTTTCTGCTCAACACCCCACTAGGATTACCTCATTATTGTCCCAGCTTCTTCCTCTTTGGACAAGCGTATCCGGAAGTCCTGCTCAGAGTCCAGACTGTGAGAAAAGAGGGCAGGGAGGCATCAGCCTGCACTCTGGGCACCCAGGGCACTGAGTAGGTGCAGAAGAGACAAGCTGAGGCACAGGAAGCAGGGCAGGTCTTAGCCACACAGCCTATAAGGAATATGTCTGCACACCTGGGTGGCACCCATCAGGGAGACTCAAAATCACAACATAAAGCTGCAATGTGGGGGTCTTGCACTCTCCCATCAGTCAGTGGTTGGCAGCTTACCTCACAGAGACCTCACAGACACGAGGGCAGGAAGGCAGGGTCTCCAGCAGGCACAGGACCCCTTCCTGAGAGATGCCATTGTGGCTGAGGCTAGGAGAGAAGCTCAGCTCAGCTGGGGTCCTGCCCCTTGACTCTCCCTCCCATTTCATTCTCCAGGAAAAGAGAGAGAGAGAGAGAGAGAGAGAGAGAGAGAGAGAGAGAGAGAGAGAGAGAGAGAAGGGTACCTGGCCCTGAGTCCTCAGAGCTGCCCCTACTGAGCCTGTGAGCCTGCAGTTCTATGGTGTGAGACATTGAGGAGTCTGATCAGGCAACTCCATCCCTAGCAGGGCCAGGGACTCCCAGAGTACCAAGTTCAGTTGCCTAGCAACAGGCTGTATGAGGCGATGGAGTGAGAGAGTGGAAGATTCCTGAAAACTCTCCCTTGCTGCAAGTCCTTTTCCAAACTTGGGTCCCACAGCCGCCGTCAGAGGGTTTTCAGAAATGGGATCAACCAGGAGCTGGCTGCTGCAGCCCCACAGCACTTGGTAGGGATGGAATGTTGCTATCTCGGTGCAGGGTACATGACGGAGGGGGAGGTCTAACTAATCTTGAGTGTCTGACACAGGATCTGCCCTCGGTGGGGATAAGAGAGGAGGTTGTGAGAGATAGGGCCAGGTAAGCGTCACTCCTTCCCATCACTGACTCTGTTTTTAAGTTCTCTTGAGGTGTTCTCAAGACCCACTATGCTCTTGATGAAGCGGGGGTGGGGGTGGGGTGGGGGGTGGTCCCCTGGCTGTCTCGAGGCTGCTCTTACTTACTCAAGCCATCCAGAGATGGGTAACTGTGGCAGGCATTCCAGAAGGCACCTGAGCCCACCGTCACCCAGCAGGTTGTCCCTGAGGCTGCAAGAAGGAAGGGACAGTGTTAGTGAGCCAAGCTCTAGCTCCGCCTTCTCCTCATGGTCCCTGTGGCCACTGAATTGGCTGCCACTGCTCCTTATCATCACCATAGCACCAACAGCCCCCCCCCACCAGAAGCACCAGCACCGGTCTGAGCTACCAAGCCCATCACCCCACTGCGGGCATAGCCGCCGACAGCTTTACAACCGCCACTGACCCCCTCATAGGCACTTCAGTAAACCTGTGTTTACTGTGTCTTCCTCACCCCCTCTGTTATCTGTGACACTCACAGGGCTCAGGGTCCTCTAGCAAGCTTTTGGGGGTTAGAAAAAAGCGGATGAGTTTTCCCCTGCCCATGGCTGAGGCCAGCTAGAATCTGCAATTTCCCAACAAGAATGTCCAAGGAAGGGACAAATGTTGGAGGATGTAATTACCTCATAGATTCCCTCCTGCGGTTTAGGAATCTGCCGCCAGAAACCACCAGAAACTACCTCAATACCTTCCCTTCTCCCTCCTGATAGCAACCCTGGTCCCAGTCACAACTTTAGAAACGGAGCCATAGTCTTCCGAACATCTGATTTCCAGACTATATTTCTGACTAAAAAAGATTATTTTATTTCTATTTTATGTGTATGGGTGTTTGTTTACATGTCTGTATGCCTACTACATGTGTGCTTGGTGTCTACAGGGGGGCCAGATGCCCTGAAACTGCAGTTCCAGCTAAGTGACAGCTACCATGTGGGTTCCGGTAACAGAATCTGGGTTCTCTGCAAGAGCAGCAAGTGCTGTTTACAACTATTGAGCAATCATCTCTCCAGTCCTATGGCACTGACACTTGCTTATTTGGAATTTTCTGAGACTGTTCCTTTAAAAATTGCTTTATAGATGTTTTGGAGAGATGGTCCAGCTGTTAAGAGTGCTTGTTGCTTTTGCAGAGGACCAGAGTTTGGTTTCTAGCACCTGCACAGGATGGTCCAACCACCCATAACTCCGGCTCCAAGAGATCCAACAGCTCCTTCCTTCTGGTCTCTGGATATTCATTGCGTGAAATGAAGGAGTGTATGTGAACGAGCGTGTGTGTGTGATAGATTTTAAAAATCGCCTTGTGTCACGAGGTCAATTAATAGAATGACTTGCATTTGATTTCTGTGACACTGGAGTGTGAGCCTAGAGCTGTGTTTATGCTTCTGCTCTAACCACTAAGCTACACTGCCAGCTCTCGTGGTCTTTAAAACAAGGCAAGTTTCCCTCTACCACGAAACATTCTTCTTTCCTAAAACACAGGCTTTCAATCAGCCACAGTTCTCCTCTTGACAACACCTTCACTGAAAAATTTTTGAAGTTGAGATAGGGTCTCACTATATGATGCCTTAAATTTGCTACGGAGCCCAGGCTGGCTTGGAACTTGGAATCCCCCTGCCTCAGCTCCAAAATGCTGAGATGATATATCTGGCCACAAGAGAAGTGTAAACTATGTAGGTTATTATTATTTTTACAAGGCTCCTTTATTTCCCAGTGAGTCTCGGTTGGACCGCCGCCTGTAAGTAGCTCTGTGATGCTGGCCAGGCTCTGGAACTCTGGGCTCTGAGCGTCCTATCTGTGCACAGGGCAATCATAGGGCCTAGGCTTCTGAGAGGGTAACGAGAACACACGAGGCATTTACAACATGGAGAACGTCCATAGTGCTCTGCTGTTGTCTTCTTTCTGGGGGACGAGGGCTATGCTGTTTGAGCACTCAACACAAGCCACAGGCACGCCACTTCATAAGTCCCCACCCTGGCTGGCTCCAGGTTCTTCTTCAGCCTAGCCATTTGGTCCCTTTTACCTCCTGCTAGGCAAGAGACTATGCCTCCTATTAGACACCCTGCTCCCCAACATCTACCTACAGGCTTAGATGTACTGGGCCAGCACGTGGCTGAGGGGCTGCCGGCACCTTCTCTGAAGAGCTGCCCAAGCTACAGGATGTGATGGTTGATCTTCACTGCCAACCTGACTGGATTAGGAATCACCTAGGAGTCGCACCCCTGGGCCTATCTGTGATGGCGTTTCCAGAGAGGTTTGACTGAGGAGAGAAGCTTCCTCATGCTTCCACCACACCACTGTGCCTTCTTCATCATGGTGGAATGTAACTCACTCAAACCAGAAGCTGAGGCCAAGTGGGGTAGTGCCCACCTGTAATCCTAGCATCCTGGAGGTGGTGGCAGGTGGATCCAAGTTCTCCATCATCCTTGGCTACATAGAAAGTTTGAGGCCAAGCTGGGCTACGTTAGACTCTGTGACCCTGTCTTAAAAACCCCCAAGCCAATCAACCAAATAGCCCGTAAGTCCAAATAAACCCCTCCCTTCCTTAAGTCACCTCAGTTAAGTGTTTGTCGTACAGGGATGAGAGAAGAGACTAATTTGGCCATGGTGGAAGTAGGGGAGGAGAGGAAACACAGGCTGGGAAGACTTAAAGATGAAAGCCAGCGTCTCCCCCCCCACCACAACTGGTCCTGAGAGCTGAAAAGGGACACACAGGATGCCTGCTCTTAAGGAAACTCTTGTACCTGCCCAGCCCCATCCAGGTGTGCTCCACTCCCTCCCCCTCCTCACAACTTACTCAAGCTGGATGAGACCGTTGCAGCTGCTCAGTGCACAACACAGTGACTCCACCTGCTCCTGGCCGAGGCTGCACCCCGGAAAGCTGTGGGGTCCAGTCGGAGACAAGAAAGAGATTAAGCGTTCAGATACTCAGACCACTTCTAGATCAACTTTTCTTGCATTCAGCCTCTGAGCTCCAGGTGTCCTTACCAAAGCTTGGGACCCTTTGAGAACACCGGGCACCCATAGCTCCCTGCAGGCCCCTTTTGGTGTCTATGTACTCCCTCTGGGAAGGGTGCTTCTCAGTGTGGTCCCTAACCAGTCACATCAGAATCACTTGGGAACTTGGAACGTGAATCCTGGGTCCCCACCAAACCTGCCAATCAGAAACTCCAGACCAAGGTCAGGAGACTCGAACTCAAGCGCAAAGACCTCCAGATCATTTCAGTAACTGGACTCTCTCCCTTCAGTAAGAAAAGACTGAGGAGGGAGAATGAGGGTGACATCTGTGTTTTAAAAGGCCTTACAGTGAAATCTCATAGTCAGTTGCATGAAAGGGCCATGGCCAGCCAGCCATCTTTAGAAACAAACAAATAAAAAAACAACAAAACGAAACAAAAACAAACCCTTAAGTCAGAGAGTTTATAAAATTTCTAGCTAATCTGAAAAAAAACCATTGTTACTAATTTGAAAAAAATCATTATTACTTTCCTTAATTTTTAAAAAATTCTTTTTTTTTTTTTTTTTTTTTTTTAGGATATGAATTTTCTGCATAGCTCAGGGTGGCCTTGAACTCAGGATCTCCCTGCCTCAGTCTCCCGAGTGCTAGGATTACAGGTGTGTGCCACCACACACATGACCTCATTATTTGCTATCTAACCCTTCGCAGAAAGACTGTTTCTGTCCCTGGGTCTGAAGCAGTCAGCAGTCAGAGCTCAGAGTCCACACCCTTCTTCCCATTCTATGACCACACAGTAGCACTCAGCAGGTACTGGCTAGTCATTGACCGTCATTTCCCAGAAGAGGGGACAACCCAGAGGGGTAGCTCCAGGGTCCCACAGGGAATGAGTGGTATTCAGCTGCCTCTGCATTCAAAGACTATCCTCTTGCTCTCCAGCACTGTCAGGGTCAAGAGCACAGGGTCACTCGCCACTGTATATGCTTGGTGCCTTAGATATTGGCTTGTGCAGCTTTGCCAAATAATGTTCTGCTGTTCTGTTTGTCCATGTTCCACAGCTCCCTGCTGTATCTGAGGAAGCCAACAGTCGAAGGGTAAGCAGCTCACCCAAGGCCCCTGGGGGCCCTGGTGCCACTGGGTAGGATAGCCCAATTGGTGAGCAGGTCATGAAGCCCTTTCTGTGGACCCAGTCTATTTGGACACAGATTCTCTGTAAGTCTCTGGGCCCAGCCCAGCCCAGCCCTCACTGGGCCTTTGATTCTCCCTGCTGGAGGAACTAGCTCACATTTGGCCGCAGGCATCTTGCATGCTCCTCTGGCCCTAGGATTTAGGTCTGCTTGTCCCTAATCTCTGAGCACATCCAGGATGGCTCAGGGAACTTACCCAAAGCATATACCCTCTTGCTCTTCCTTGGAGCCAAAGTGCAGGGCAGCATCGCATAGGGACCTGTAGTGACAGTAAACACTCAGTCACCCTTGGCCATTGCCCTAGGGTGCCCCCAGACTTCGGCTTGGGTACTTCTGAGCACTCACACCCTCCAAACACCAGGCTTCACCCTCCAGGACTAGCCCTAGGGTGCCCACCTGAGAGTGACCTTCTGAACTCGTGGGCACAGGTTGAAGATGTCGGCTAGCAGGAAGGGGCTCTTTGAAGATAGGACTGTGTGGTTCAGCCTGAAAAGGAAACGGGAAGGGCCAAGCAGGGTCACTGACCAAGAAAACAGCTACGCTAGAGGGATAGGAAGAGGAGTACATCTTGGCTGCCAGCTCAGCAAGGTAATACGAAAGACAACAGGGACTCAAGGGGGGTAAAAGGGGTGGGGTGGGGGCAATATAACAGGGCTTTGAGTTCCAGTTCTCTTTGCTAACTGTGTGACCTGGAGTAAGCCTCCGAGTCTCAGTCTCCTTATGGGGCAAAAGGTACTAATTGTGGTACTCTTTTCTCTCCAGTAGGCACCTTGCCTGGCATGCAAGACGATTGCTATGGTTTAAGTTTTCTTTTAAAGATCTATTTGTGTTTATGTGTCTCTGTGTGTCTGTGTGGGTGTATGTTACCTGTGTGTATGGAAGAGGCAGCATCCCCAAAGAGTGCAGAAGAAGGCATCGGATCCTCTGGAGCTGGAGTTAGAGGTGGTTGTTAGCCATCAAACTCGCAAGAGCAAGAAGTTCTCTTAGCCATGGAGCCATCTCTAGCACCTTACATTTATTTCTTCTTTTCTATGTCTGGTGTTCATGTGCATGGATGGGCATGTTGTTGTGTGTGGGTGCAGGTGTGTGTGTGTGTGTGTGTGTGTGTGTATGAGCATCCTAAGGTTGCTATCACGAATCTTCCTTGATCTCTATCTTCCACAGTATTCTTTGAGGCAGAGTGTCTCCATTGCAGCCTGAACACGCCAATATGGCTGGTCTCACTAGTCAGCTTGATCAGATGAATTCTTTCCACACAGATCACAAGCCACAAGAAGTGAGGAGAGACAGACATCCTAGTGATACCCGAAGGGGCAAAATTACCACCAGCTGCAAACTTGGGCCTCAAACACCTGGATGTGGGTGCATCTTGCCTGGTGCACAGCTCCCTCTCTTTCCATTGCTGCTCTTGACCCTGAGTCTTTCCTCTAGTCAGCAGTCTACCTTAGCTTCGGAAAACTCAAACTACTTATCTGTCTTTCAAATCCGTGGGAGTGGGAACCCAAAGCCTCTCCCCGGCTCCCAGGTCCCGTGACCAGCCGTGATAACTCCTTCCGTTATCTTCTTGCTTCTTCCTGCCAGCCAGCAACTCTGCTCTCCTGCGGATCAAGGCTGTTCCTGTAACCCCTCAAGCTAGCTGTGCTTCCAGGCTGCAGACATGCTGATCCCTTCCTGGAATGCAGTTCCCTGCCCTTCACAAGCTCACAAAGCCAGATTCCTGCTGTCCTTCCTGTAGCTTTCCCGCTCATGCCTCCTGTGGAAGTCTGAACTGTAACTAACTGATCTCCATACAGAGTGGCATTGTTAGGGGGCGTGGTCTTGGAGAAAGTGTGTCACTGTGGGGGCAGACTTTGAGGTTTCCTATGCTCAGGACACTGCCTAGTGTCTCAGTTGACTTCCTGTTGCCTGCAAGATGTCGGGTTCTCAGCGACTACTGCCTGCACACTGCCATACTCCCCATCATGGTGAAAATGGATTAAACCTTGAATTGTAAGGAAGACACCCCAATTAAATGTTTTCCTTATAAGAGTGGCCATGATCATGGTGTCTCTTTACAGCAATAGAATCCCTGAGACAACTACCATTGCCAGGGATCATCTGCATCCCCTCTCCAGACACTTACTACTAGAGAAGACTATCTTGTATCTTGTTATTGGTTATAGTCACATATTGATTGTTTGGTTTAGGCTTCTCTCTCTCTCTGTCTCTCTGTCTCTGTCTCTCTGTCTCTGTCTCTCTGTCTCTCTCTCTGTCTCTCTCTCTCTCTCTCTCTCTCTCTCTCTCTCTCTCTCTGTCTCTCTCTCCTGTGGATTTCACTCTGTAGCCAAGTTAATCCAGAACTTGAGATCCTCCTGCCTCAGCCTTCCCAAGGGCTTGGGTCCTGCCTGACGCCACCTGGCTGTATCATTCGCTGTCTCTGTGCTCCTTGCTTGGCTCACTGTACTATGAGGCAAACACCAAGAAGGCAAAGTCCTGGTCATTTGATTTCATTCCTGTGCCCATAGCACCCCAGACGGTGCCTGGTCAACAGCAGCAACGGTGAGTAAAAGGCCAAACAAGGACCCAGAGACAGATGCAAATCATCACACAGATGCGGTGTATCTGACCATCCCGTCTCTGGCCATCTGACATCTGCACACCCCCCTCCCCACTACCCACAGGCTCAGAAGAGAAGCACAGGTCCAGAGGCAATGTAAGCAGTCTCGGACACGTCCAGAGCTCAGCCTCGGTGCCCTTGCTGCCGCTATTAATGCTATGATTTAATTTCCTGTTGTATTTTTTTTTCCCATCTCAGCTGTGGATGTTTCTCCCCAGCCCCCTCTTCTAGAAGCATATTTAAAGTAAATCCTTTTTAAATTCTAACCAGTCTGCACTGAAATTAGAAAACAGAGTTTTAAATACTTTGACGAATGCTGCTTAAATTCCTCCCCTTTGACAGAGTTAGAGGGGTGACCTTTAGAAACATGGCATGTGACATATACATGGCCTACATCTGCTTAGGCCCTTCGTAGGGGTAGGTGACCTTCCCATAGGCAACAGACATGTGACCGACTCTTGGCCACACTCCTCCCATCCTTCATGAGCTTCTGAGCACATGGTCTATTTGAGCGCAAACCCAGAGCAAGACCTGGGATATGAACCCCACAAAAGACAATCAGGGTGATGCTGAGTGACCTGAGTCTCAGATGTGAGGGATGGGAGAATGGAGAGGAGGAGGGAATAAGGACAACCCTGCCCCACGGAGCCTGGGGACACAGTCAGCCCGGCAGAAGGACTGGACGCCTGGACTTACTGCAGCAGGCTGAGCTGGGGCAGCTGGGGCAGACACTGCAGCAGGGTCTTCAGGCTCTCATCACACAGGGTCTTGCAGGACAAGCTGTGAAGCAAAGGATTTGAATGAGGTGGGGGAACCGTCTAGAAAGTGGGCAGCATAGCTTTACAGCCAGAGCCCTCAGGAGATGAGACGAGATGTGCTGCTGACAGGATCCCCTCTCAAGACTGGGTTAGGTCAGACACATCTTGGAAGCACTGGACGGAGCAAATGAAGTTGCTTTATTCTGTGTCTTTCACAAGCTGTTGGATATCTTGGGTTTCCAAGGGACTCCTGGTCTAGGAGACTCTCTCTACAAACTCCACAGGCTGGCAGAATTGTGAGTAGAGGGTCATCAGCTACCTCCACCCCAGCAGGGAGGAAGCAGGTGGGACTGGGAGCTGTCGTCCCACTGGAGAGATGTGGGTTCCTATGACTCATCCGAACCCACCAATCACCGCACGGCAGGTACAGATAAAGTCACAGAACCAGCACACACAGGAGACACAAGCACCTACCCTTGGGCCACTGTGTGCCCTGAATATCTGGAGAATCCCATTGCCCTCCACTAGGAGTCACTTGCTGTCCCCAGAGCCCCTTAGGCTGTTTTTCCCTCCTGCCTTCACCCCCCCCCCCTTTATCCATCCTTGCACTTCCTCCTCCATCCCTTGCCCATTGTACTGAAGGCCACTGGCCCCAGTCCTGCTGTTTTCATTAGTTGGTTGGGAGGAGAGGGTAGGACAGCATTGGTGTGGGTGAGGAGCGGAGGGGCAGGAGTAGCTTGCGGTCTGAAGCTGAGTACCTCTAATGGAGCTAAGCTAATGGAGCTAAGCTTCAGGCTCAGACTCGCTCTTTCTGCCCCCATCTAGCCTGGATCTGGGGCAGTGTCTGAGTGGGGCCTTCACTGAGGGAGGCCTTTGCACAGCACCTTCCCGTGAGGGGCTTCCCCACATCCCTAGTCCACAGCACCATGGTCTCTGGGTCTCTACACACTTTTAAAGCAATAGACACATGACCCCTTCCGATTTATCACGGGTCCACCAGTAGGTAGAGAAGGAAGTAGGCCTGCAGCAGGGCAACTGACCACCTTTCCTGATCTCTAAGGGAGTCCCAGGACAGCCAGTGATGCTGGGCGCAGGGACCCTGAGATATTACTTATTCTCTGAACCCCCATTCTGCCTGTCTTTCTTATAAAGCATGAGCAGGACCTGCAGCTCCAAGCCCTGTGTAACCCATGGCCTGGTATTCAGTGGGTGCATAACAGGTATACAATGCTGAAGTGCTTTGGGAAGCATTGCTGTGACACCACAGGAATGCCTGGTATAGCCTGTCTGCACAAATCTAGGTGGGTTTGCAGCATCCTGCTGTAGGCAGCCTAGGTGCAAAGGCATGGAAATGCAAGCACTCTGCAAAAACACCCCAGGCAGGGCCACTGAATACTGGATGATGTGGTTGATGATTGCAGGACATTATTGTTAATATTTGAGGTTTGATAATATTTTTGTGGTTACATTAAAAATGAGAGTACAGAGCATGGTGGGGCACGCCTTTAATCCTAGCACTTGAGAGTGATTTCAAGGCCATCCTGGTCTACAAAGTGAGTTCCAGGCCAGCCAGAGCGACACAGGAAGACTTTGTCTTTAAAAAAAAAAAAAACTTAAGTAAGCAAATAAATAAATATAAAAGAATATGTATAGCTTTTCATACCAAAATATTTACAAATAAAAGTATAAAGCGTCAAGCCAGGCAGTGGCGGTGTGCGCCTTTAATCCCAGCACTCGGGAGGCAGAGGTAGGCAGATCTCTGTGAGTTCGAGACCAGCCTGGTCTACAAGAGCTAGTCCCGGGACAGGCTCCAAAGCTACAGAGAAACCCCATCTCAATGCCCCCACAAAAAGTATAAACTATCTGGCAACTACTTCAAAATCATTGAGCATGTATGTATGTGTTCATATACGTATGCATACATGTGTGTGCACGGGAATTTTTGTTGTTTTGTTCTGGGACAGGGTGTCTCTGTGTAATCCCAACTGGTCTGGAGCCAGCTGTGTGGTCCAGTCTGGCCTTACACTCCTGATACTCCTGCCTGTCTTGAGTGTTGGGATTGCCGGCAGGTGCCACTGTGCTTAGCTGTGTGCTATAGTATACGGAGGGGGGTGGGGTGTGTTATGAGTTCATCATTCCTGGGGGAGAGGGGATTGCCTAAGGTCCTTTATTTTCTCTACTTTATGCTAAGACAAAAGAGCTGTTTAAACGACAAAGTAACCTGACAGTGAGGAAGCATGGCAGACACAGCCTTTGCCCTGTGGTCAATGTCAGTGTCAACCTGACAGCATGCCCTAAAGAAATACCGTGGGGTAGTTAGGCTGGGGGATGCTGCCCCCAAGTCTAGACCCTAGTTTAACCTGGGGAAAAACAGCCAAACTCAACCAGAGACAGCTTACAAAATACCCGCCTGGGGCCCTCAAAACCAAGGAGGATGTGGAAAACAAAGAAAGAACCACAAACTTCCGGGAAGACGGGAGGCTGAGAAGAAACGCTTCCCGGCTATCCAGAATGCAGAGATCTGTCTCCATGGAAAGAGCGCTAAAGCTTGAGTCAACAGCTGCCTGTCACAGGTGTTTCTCCACGGCGACAAACACACTATGTAACAAGAGATGCCAACTCTCTGCACTCCTCCGCAACTTTTTTGAAACATTGTCTAAAAGTGTTCTAAAGGAGTTTTTCAAAGCTGAACTGAGGGCCAGTGTGATTTGAGATGGTTCCCTGGGATCTACACGGTGGGAAGCAAGAACCCATAACTGTGAGTTCCTCCGACTTCCATACAAGTTTCATGACATGCACACCCACATATGCTCACAAAATAAATCTAATAAGCTTTTAAAAAGTGAATCGAGGACTTGTGAGATGGCTCGGAGGGTAAAGGCACTTGCTGTCAAGCCTGACAACCTGAAATCAATTCCTGGGAACCGACTCCAGAAATGCCTCCTCTGACCTCCACACGCATGCTGAAGCATGGACATACATTATCACCCCTCCGCAAACAACACATGAGCAAAATGAAATAAAATGTTTTTAATGACTCACGACGTGACCCTCAGGGAAAGCCACACCGTCTAAATGCAGGGAGATTGCGCATGGCCAGATCTCATCCTGCCAAACAATGCAAACCTCTCCTTCTGGGTGTGTTCACTATGGAGAAGTGCATGGGAAACACACACTGGGGGCCGCATGGATTACCCTGTCCAAAGGCTGATACCAATCTGCGGTGGAGCCAGAAGTCAGAGCATGAGACTGCCGCAAACTAGGAAAGCAGGTGTGAGCCAGGTGAGGCTGTAGGCTGCACCTGGTCTAAGACTGCAAACGGCGGCGGAGGGGCACTAATCCGAAAGACCCAAAATCTGACATAGTTTGAGCACTGACATCACACTGCAAGTGGAAAATTCCAGTCCTGACAGGTCCCAGCCCCCAAGCACAGGCTCACTGTAGACACTGGATATGACTTTCTGGTTACGGCATAGGGCTTACCCGAAACAAATGAACTTTGTGTTTAGATCTGATTCCCTTTGCCAAGGTATCTCATTCTGCATATGCAAACATTCCAAACCCTAAAGAAAATTCCAAAATCTCAAACACTTCCAGTCCTGAGCATCTTGGATAAAAACTAAGCAATCAGAAAGTAAAAAGGGGACATACAGTGAGCAAGAAGTGGACAGGGCTGTGACAAACAGCACCATGGTTCAGTGGAAGGGAAGGGTAGGCTTGAGGGGGCTCCAGCCTGGAGTCTTTTAAAGGCTATTTTTATATAAGAATCACAACACTGACTCCCAAATAAAGGGATCACTGTCTGTTCCACAGAAGCAGAAACTGAGGCCCAGGGACTCAAAACCTAGCCAGCTTCCAGTGACTGAGCAACTCCTTGTCATGGGCTTGGTCTCTGCTCACAGAAACTGGTTGTTCTGAAGTGGGTGAGGTAGTTCAGGGACAAAGGGTTCAAAGGTGATGATTTAGCCCTAGAGGCAGGATGAGGGAGAGACCTGTGTGGGGCTCTGGTACAGGACCCCATGCATCTCAGTACTTGAGGCTAGGGTTCCTGGGAGATGACTGACCTCCTACCAGCGGGTCTCGTAACTCCTGGAGTGGGGCTGATGGGTCTGGTGGAAGAAGGCCAGGGGAGAGTCATCAAGTCTCCCCTACAAGCCCTCTCCCAGGTTTCTGCATGTCACCTACACTGTGTCCTCAGGGATGTGTCTTGTCACTTACTTGACTTCCAGAGGCCCTGGGCACTTCTCCAGAGCAGTACAGAGGCAGGCAAGACTCCGAGGTTCCAGTTGACACCCCTGAAGGCTGAGAAGGGACAGGAGACAGGGTAGAGGATCAGAGTAGACACGGGTCCCCTGTTGTCCTTCTTCCAACAGATACTGAACTGCAGGCCTCAGGCTCCTCTCTTATGCCCTGCAGGGCACACTCCCCTCCCCAAGCTCTCCTATAGCCCCTTCTGGTGCCCACCTTTATGACTGCTACATTAAAACTGCCCCATGTGGTGCAAGGCCTTTCCACCCACTGCCCTCCCTGACCCCAGATGCCATCTTCACTCGCTTGGACCACTCGCTTAGTGCCCTCTGGCTTCCATACTTCATCTCACAGCCCTCCACCACCCCCCAAGTGCCTCATCTTTTTAATTTGTTAGAATGTGTTTTGCCCGCACGCATGTACACGCACCATGTGCATGCCTGGTGCTCTTAGAGGCCCATGGAAGAGGGTGTCAGATTCCCTAGAACTGCAATTATAGATGGTTGTGAGCTGCCACAGGGGCACTGGGAACTGAATCCAGGCCCTCTGTAAGAACAGCACACACTTTGAACCGTTGATTCATTTCTCCAGTCCATGTCTCGTTTTTCAACACTGCCCATCTAAAGGGGCCTCTCCACTGCTGCAAACCTTCAGGGGCTCCCTATTCTCCTTAAGTATAAAACAAATGCCCTGCCCAGCTTCTCCTGCTATGCTCTCAGCTACACTGCCGTGCTTCCAAACATGCCTTCACCCTGGCTTTCGCTCCTTGTCTCTCCCGCCCGGAGCATGGCAACTTTTCTGTGAGTAGCTCTGTTGATGCCAGCTTAGGCATCTCTTGGAGGAGAATGCCAGGGCTCCGCAGGGTTTTATAGCCCCCCGTGGCACAGTTCGGAGTTACCCAGGCCAGACTTTTCTGGGGTATGAAGTAAACCTCTCTCTAGAAAAGGAAGTCTCAAAAGCAGATGGCAAGCCAGGGCAGGCGACAGCTGGGTTTCCAGTGTGTTTCCCAGATATGACAGCTTCTCTAAAAAGAACGTCAGGCCTTGGCTCCACCGAGGTGACCCAGAGGGGCCCCGCAGCCCCCAGCGCTGGCCTCTGTACCACGCCTCTTCCCTCTACTTTAATTCGAAGCCCTGACCCCTGGCTCTGCTCATTCCCTAACCCCTGAACAAAAGTGGAATACAGTACCTGAAGCTCCTGGAGGTGCAGCGCTGACTGCCTGCCAGTAACGGGGCTCCAGCTGGGGGCTCTTGTCCACATCTGCCAGCTAGTGCATCCCTTGGAGGGGGGAAAGCATAGCAAAAGGATAGCTTGAGTGACACCTGTGGGGCTCCCACACCCTCAGGACTTTCACACCTGGAGGCAGAACACCTGGATGGGAACCTGAGGATTTGACCCCAGTCAGGTCCCTTAGTACTTAGGTGGGGAAACTGAGACTCAAGAAAGGGAAGCTAGAACGAGGAAAATCAGCAGGTCACACCTATCCAGGTCAACCCCTAAGCAGGTAAGCGGAGACAGAATAGAGAGCTTCCCCTGACCATTCACTTGACAGGACCATACATCGGCCTCCCTGTTTCTCAATTCTTCTGCTCTTATTTGGGGAACCAAGAACATCTAACCTAGACCTAGCCTGGCTTCAGATTGCCTGGCACATTAGCCGTGGTGAGGTCACTGTCCAGCTGGCCCTTCCCTACTCCCCACCTGTCTCTGAGGACAGCTTCCAGGGCTCAAGGCCTTGACGCCTGTTGCCACTAGGGAGCAGCTGGGAGCACCTGTGAAGTGCTAAATTGGTTTATTTTAAAGAGCTAGCCAGGCTTCTCAGGGCCTTGCAGATTAGACAGTGCAGCTGTCCCATAGACCACACCAGACCCGGGATTCAATTCCTGGGCATGGATAAAGATGGGGCATCCACAGAAAGCGGGAATCAGAGCCACAGGCAAGCCAGATCGCCCAGATCTCCCCTCCTCACCTGCTTGTTCCAGCTCCTCGAAGGAGGACGTGGTCATTCTCAAGGCTGGAAGTGAAAAGGAAGCAGTGGGTTGGGAATAGCCGAAGGGTCCCCTTCCCTGAAGGGCTTAGGGACCTGGAGTGGCCCGCCACCCAGGGAATATAATAACAATGGAACAAACGACAGCTATGATTATCTAAGACCCTTGCAGGACTTGTGGCCCGTTATTTCAGCGCCCTCTTGTGGTGAACTGGGAGAGGAGGATGGCTTCTGGGTTCTGTCCAAGAACTCGCACCAAGCTTCTTGGCTTTGCCCACCTGCCACCACACCTTTATTCTTAGGGTTCTCGGGGAGGGAAGAATGGGGCAAAGTGCTCCTAAGACGACAGGATTTCTACATGGAGGGATTCAGAGGCTTAGGTGGCTGTTGCCTTCCCTTCTAGTGTCGTAGTGGAGATGCCACAGCTAGGCTAGTCCCTGAGCCCCAAAGGCCACCAGCCAGCTCCCAGCTTGCTTGGGAATATCTAGGACAATCTGGAGAGTAAGGGAGAGTTGAAAGACTTTTGTTCCAAGGAGAACGTGGAGAAATCTCCCTCTCATTCATTCATTCATTCATTCATTCATTCCACGAACTCCTAGCGCAAGCTCACTGCACCTAAGACCCCGAGGATGACGCAGGGTGACGTGTAAAATGGCCTCAGCAGGAACTGATGATGGGAGGGAGACGGGAGGGGACAGGGCAGCCGCTCACCTGACATCTAGGTGGAACACCCACTGCCCGGAAGACATGCATGCGATCAAGCCAAACACAGCATCCAGGGACACACCGTTCCTGTTAAGGCTAGAGATCGCACAGGAGACAATGGTGAAACCACCAAGGACTCAGACATGCTCTCTGTACATCAGAGCTTAGGTCCCGGGATGGGAGCGTCTTTGCTAGCAGATGGCAGACCCTGATGACCAGCGGGTAACCCTCCAACTGCACCACACAGCTGAGATGATCTAGACAGGTAGGAACTTGCTCCAGGGACAAGCTGTGTCGGTGACAGAGCTAAGACTGGAACCCAGAGATAAAGGAGGGGTGGGGTTCAGGGTTAAAAGCAGGGGAGGGGACTGCCATCCTGAAGCAAGAACAAAGATTTCTCTTCTCTCATAGTCTCTGTCCACCTATCATGGGGTTTTCATTTGCCATGTAAGGTCCTGCTGGGACCCAGGGTCTTCCTCACAGGTACCTTGTCACTTTGTGAAGAATACCTGCAACAATCTGCATGCCATTGTCTGCAAAAGAAAGGCCCCTTTCCTGCCTGTAAGCACCCCCAGGATCAGCCAGTCTCCTGGTAACACAGTATTGTAGCAAGAAAGGCCCTGGGCCATAGTGCTCCTTCATTACAGCCACAAGTGGAGACCACACCCAATTCTTTTTTGTTTGTTTGTTTTGTTTTTGTTTTCAGAGACAGGGTTTCTCTGTGCAGCTTTGGAGCCTGTCCTGGAACTCACGCTGCAGATCAGGCTGGCCTCGAACTCACAGGTATCCACCTGTCTCTGCCTCCTAAGTGCTGGGATTAAAGGCGTGTGCCACTACAGCCTGGCTCCACCCGATTCTCATGCATTTACTGAGGCACCCAGAAGCTTCAGCTTCTGCCGTGACTTCCCAAGGCCATACAGAGCACAGGCAGCACAGACAGCCAGAACCCAGGGCCTTCAGCTTCATTCACGAGATTCTCTTATTTCTGTCCAGGGAAGCTTGGGAACAGGAGGGTACCAAGAGCTGAGAACACCTGAGGCCTTTGAGAGCTCAGGAATGTGGCTGAGTGCAGGCAGAGTGTGGGGGATCTTGTTCACCAAGGTCTTCCTCCCACCCCGAGTGCCTCCCACCTCTCTATCAGGTCAACAGAATACTTGGACTTCTCTAGACACACTGTGTGGTGTCTTCTCCAGCATGAATCCTCCCTGTCCACCTAGGTGGAGTTGCATCAAGCGGCCCTCTTTCTGTAACCAGGGACTAGAATGACTGCTGTCAGTTTATCGCTTAATGTCCTCATGCGTCCATCATGCTTCCCATGATCCCCTCGTACTGCATGCATCTGCACAGCCCAGGCACCGTGGGAGCCCACGGAGAGACACAGGGTCTGCTTGGAGAAGACCTGAAGCAGAAGCTAGGGCAGAGCTCTGCCCAGTCCAGCCAGGGTGAGCAGAGCCCCAGTCAGGCCCTTGTTGAGCATCTGCCTGTGTGGTGCTGGAGGAAGGGGCTTCATATGCACTACGGGGTTACATCGTCACTGGACATAGAACAAACCCTCCCACAGAGGCCTGGGGGGTAGTTAGCGGCTTACTTCAAGGACTGCAGGGGACCTAGTCCTGGGAGCAGCTGGGCTAGTAGGGCCACCCCTTCATCCCCCAGAGAGTTGTTTGATAGGCTGGAAAAGAAAAAGAGGTTAGTGGACCATGGAGTGAGTTCTGCTTTCAGATCAGTGTCGTCACCCAGCTGCTTCTGGGACCAGGAACTCCAATCTAAGCACTAGGTTAAATCTTTGCACATCACACATGGGCCACATCCCTCTCCCCAGTATTCTTTCCAAAATGTGTGGTCTTCTGGGATGGCTGCAAAGGGTACCGGTGTGGGATGTATACTTGGAAGGAAAGTCACTCCCCCACTCCCTGAGGTCTCTAACGTCAGTGGAGAAAGAAGACTAAGGACCTAATGCTTCGAAACAGAACAGGACATCTATGTTCTATCACCGAGCAGCCTGTACTGTCCCCACCTAGCCCCCCTGGATGCAGATACTCACTCAAGGTGATCCAAGTGGTGGAGCTCGCAGTTGGCTCTCAGCGCCTCGCAGAGCCTCTCTGTGTGCTTGGCCAGGAAGCCACATTGTGTCAGCCTGCAAGGGGCCAGACCACAGTTCTGCAGTGACCACTAGACATTAGACAGGGGAAAGCTGCCCACAGCCCCAGAGCCAGGCAGAGAAGCCCACAGGTAGGGGTTGTGGTTTGTGACGTGGAGTGTGCTGACACACAGCAGCCTGAAACAGCGTCTGGGGCTGAGAGGGAAAGGGATAGAAATAAGTGGAGATAGCCATAAAGACAATAAATATAGAGATAGACAAGTAGAGATAGCAGCAGAGATAGAGACACTCATAGGCAGAGACACTGAGAGACAGAGGGGCACAGATAAAGAGAAACAGTGACAGAGACAAAAAGCAGAAAGTCAAATGAGAAATAAGAATAAGTGCTGTAGAGAAAGAAACCACCTCTGATTGAGACAGGCAGGCAGAAAGGTGGGCAGACAGACAGACAAACAGACAGGCAGGCAGGCAGACAGGCAGGCAGGCAGACAGGCAGGCAGACAGACAGACAGGCAGGCAGACAGACAGACAGGCAGGCAGACAGACAGGCAGGCAGGCAGACAGACAGACAGGCAGGCAGACAGACATACAGAGAAGCAAAAGGAAGATGGTATTGGTAGGAACATGCAGGGCTGAGGAGCTCAGGCTGATGCCCAGAATTGGTGGTTGGAAGTTCATGGCTCCTCTTTTCTTTGTTCAGTCTCCCCAACCCAGGGTTAGGAAGCTATGGGGTTGGACTGCCTAGGCAGTGGGAGGTGGCTGAGGGGTGGGATATGCAGGGGACAGGAACTCCTTGACACAGCAAGCCCTGTGAGGCAGGCTTGAGGCTTGGGGACAAGGTAGGAGAATTATTACTGTACCTGATTCTTCGAGAGCTCCCGGACATCTCCGAGGTCAAAGAAAATGCAAAGCTGGTAAGTGGTGCCTCCCTGAAGGACACACAGCAAGGCCAGACTGAGTGTCTTGCCAAACTCACTGTCCAGCTTTGACTCTCTGCCCTCAACCAGGGTCGGTGGGACTTTAGCCTGGTGTGTGACCTGGGACTGACCTCATTTGGCATGAATGAGTTCTCTCTGTCTAACACTAGCCACACACATAAGGAAATGCCCAATTCACCCTGGTTGCTGTCACCATTAATATCATTGTCATTATCATCCTCGGAGATGGTAAGAGATGGCACTTTGCTCCTACCAGCCTTCCAGACTCAGACTCTGTGCTATAGCTTGTGGGGAGTCACACATGACACAGAGCTAAGCCCCTAGCCATGTCCTGGAAATCACTCGAAGGAGGAAGACAGGCATCTCTTTGAATGGTCCTGTGCCAAAGGAAGACAGGAGTTCTGGCCAAATCAGAGCTCCGGGCCAGGCTACTCTCCATATTTAGGCTAAACCACCAAGTTTCCCGTGAATAATTGTCTAACTATCGCAGCCTGGCCTGGCATACTACCCAGATCCTACATCACTGGGTTCCCAGGAGTCTGCTCCTTCCTCATCAGCGCCTTGTCTCTAGCTACGGCTGCTGAAGGCCTGACCCTTGGTGAATTCCCTTTCACTTCTGAGACAGGGTCTCGTGTGTCTTAGGCACCACCGTGGGTCATTTCTACAGCCCTGGGAACTGAGTCCAGGGTCTCGTGCAGTATTAGACAAACACTACAATCTGAGATGCATCTCCAGCCCTACTTTGTGAGTTCTTGTCGAGGTCGCCCTGGTTCAGGGAGAGCACAGCCCCATCCCAGAGAGGAATGTAGGGATGCTGGGTCCTTACGTCTTGCAGCTCCCCTCTTGCTCCCTTGGCTCCTGGGCAAATGTGAGTACCACGGTGTTGGTCAGCAGGCTGTGGACAAGAGAGGAGCAAGGGACAGAGTTATGGTCCTTGTCTAACCCTGACCTGGTGGGACCACCAAGACACCACACCTGTTCAAGCTAAGCCTTTTCCTGTGACTTCCTCTGAGACTTTGAAGTGTGAGGCCTTCCTGCTACACAGACTTCAGATTCTTCCAGCTCTGGTTTGTACCTCAGTCTGTAGCATGCCCCTTCTGCCTGCCCAGGTGGAGTAGGGGGGGGGTTCCTCTGATGCTTGGAGCACTTAGAGTATGGGTGCTGTCTCTCATGACACGCAGTACATCTCAGTGGCCACAGTGAATGAGGACCCTAATCTACCTTGTGAGAGATCTGGTTTCCCTCCAGCCCTTTGGGGGAGGTGTGCACAAAATAGAGACCCTCCAGGCAACCGAGAACCAAGAAGGAGGCTTGCAACAAGGTGGGAGCCGCACTTTTATCCATTCACACATGTTCTTGGTCCCCACACTGGTAGAGATAGAACTGAGATTGGACCAGAGGGACAGGAGGCTGACATGTCACATGGAGACTGTTCTCAGGAGAAACTGGGCAGGAACTGATGGGAGCTGGAAGGGGCAGGGCCCAGCCTGATCCCGCAGGAGCTGGGGACACAGTGGGCGCTGCACAGTTTGTACCAACTGAAGCAAGGAGCTGGAGGGCTGTTTCCTCATTTTCTGATCCTGCCACTTCCAGCTGGCACCACCGGCTGCAGGCAGCTCTCCAGAGGAGCGCCACAGCCCCGGCGGTGACTGCACTGCTGTGCTAGCTGGGCAGGGCTCAGGCAGCATCTTCTGGGGGTCCCTGAGGTATGAGGCCAGAAATAATATGGGGAATTTCAGAAAGTATGGTGACCTGGCCCTGAACTCAGAGTTTAAAGGGCAGTGACGATGCCCTGTGTGGCACCCACCTGATATGCATCTCCTTCAGGGTCCCACATGTTTTCATGGCTCTCAACACATAGGTCACCCCAGTCTTAGAGAGGCCATTGTCACTGAGGCTGTGGAGAGGAGAGGGAGGCAGTGTCAGCAGGCAGACAGCTCCTGCCCCCTCATTGTGGCTTAAAAATTGTTGTCTGTCATGGGTCCCCAAGCAGGGTCTCTCAAAGAATTCTTCAAGTTCTCTGGCTTAACCCATAAGCACTACCCCTGGTTCTCCTCTCTCTGAGCCTTGGTTTTGTGGTATACAAAGTAACTGCTGACCATGTGGGATTGACTAGCGGACTCTGTACCAAGGTTTTTAGGTGTGCATGATCTCATTTAATTCCATTTTATAGATGGAGAAACTGAGGCCCAGAGACACTCAATTACTTTCCCAGGATTTCAAAGTTATGGAGTGACATAGTGAAGGCTGAAGCCCAAACCACTTTCCCCAGCATCACTACTCCTTACTCAACCCAAACGACCAGGAGGCATAACACAACCCACCTAGACACCATCTTTGCCCCCGTCCTGCACCATTAGACAGCCTGCTTTCTTGGGTCACCACTCCAAAAACTTATGCCTACACCCTAACCAAACATACTACATTGTCCCCCGGAGTCTTGGCCCAGTGGCTGAGTACCCACCCATTTAGTACCTTAGCTCTGGCCCAGTGCAAGACTCCTGCCTCCCAGAGCTGTGGCCAGGACAACCTGGCATGCATGCAGGCCAGATGTGCCATGGACATGCTGTCCGTGTGCAAGGAGTTAGATGGTGAGGCTACTAGTGGCTCAGGGCAGAGGCAAGAGCAAGGTGCAGTCAAGAGGCCAACTTAGCTGGAGAGAGGGGATACTGGGCAGATCCTTCCTGACTGGGCATGGGGAACAGGGGCAGGCAGGGACCAGATGGGACTCTCCATGGCTCCTCTTGTCACCCAGCGGCGGGGTGTGCAACTCACTCCAGTTTCTGGGCAATTCGCAGCTGGGAAGCAGCCTCTGCCACAAGTCGACAGCCTTCATCTTCCAGATGGTTCCCTGAAAGACTAAGATAGAGGCACCGTGGAGACACGCACAGCCTTCCTCTTGCTTCAGTCAGAGCATCGTTCCCACAAGTGAACTTTATAATAACTTAAGGGGGCAGGCCGCCAGCTCCACACACACATGACCCTTCTACACATGTGCCACATTTCATACAATCTATGAAGAAGCAGGGACTCATATCTTCTTCATCTTCCTGCTGGGTAAACCAAGGCAGAGTCCTTAAGGGACCCGCTCAAGGGTGGGCTTGGACTCAACCCAGACAGCCTGACTGGAAGGTCCCACCTGTACCTATTCCTGTACGTTGCAATATGCATAAATGCTTCTTGTGATAACCTCCCTAATTCCAGGATATCTGACTCGGTGTAGGGCCAGGGAGGCTTTCTTGATTTATTTAAATACTTGCTGGAAATCCCAGGAGTTCTATAGGTGAGTGATGGGAGAGATTTGGAAAGATTGTCCCTAGTAGTGGGAACAGCACATTCAAAGATCCCATGACATAGCGCATATCAGCATCCAGAGGAAGCCAGTGTGTTTATATTGGAAACTGAGTTAGGGTAGCAGGGTGAAGGGTTTGGAGAGTTTGGGGGAGGCTTCTGGGTCTCACAGGATGTGAGGATTTGGGCTTTATTTACTCTGAGGGTAAAGAGAGAGGGAGTGAAGGGCAGTGGTGAAATACAGTCTACCCTGCCATGGTGGAAGGTGGGAAAACCATGAGCCAGAGCTAATGGGGTCACTAGGTGAGAGGTTCTAACAGAGGAAGTGGATGAAGAACCTGTAGAAGAGACGGGCTTGAGACCGCCTAAGTTGGATAAGGGTGGCTGGGAAAGAGTTATTCATCTAGTTAGGTGGGGTGGGATTGTGTTGCAAGTGAGGGACTGGGGAGGGGTAGGTTCAGTGACGGCAAGCAGGCCAGAAACATCCCATGTCTTCTTTTTAAATTTTGTTCTGTAAACTGAGTGTCTGCCATGCACGTGAAGGTTCTAGATCCCTCGAACTGGAGTTACATGAAGTTGCGAACTGCCAACATGGGTGCTGGAACCTGAAGTCAGGCCCCCCGGGAGGGCAACAGGCACTCAGCCCCTAAGCCATCTCTCCAGATCTTTTAATCATTTTTTTAATTATGTTTATTTTTTTGTAGTGGGGATCGTGCACACGGAGGCCAAAGGACAACTTGCAGGGGTTGGTTTGCTCTTTCTATCATGTGGGTCCTGGACTTTGAAGTCCGATGGCCAGGCTTGGTGACAGGTGCACTTAGCTGCTGAGTCGTCTTACTGGCCCTCATTTGCTATGTTTGAACCTTGCCCCTGAGTCTTCCAATGAAACAAGGTAAGAGACCAAGAGTTGATCATCCAAGTAACCCTCTCTTTATGTAGCACACCCTGAAGTGAGCCGACTCACCCCTAAATGCTTCACAGCACCCCACTATTTGTTTTTTCGTTTGTGAGGGTTTTTTTTTTTTGGTTTTTCAGGAGAGGGTTTCTCTGTGTATCCCTGGTTGTCCTGTAACTTGCTCTGTAGACCAAACTGGCCTTGAACTCAGAGATCCGCCTGCCTCTATGTTTCAAATGCTGGGATTAAAGGTGTGCACCATCACCACCTGGTGCACCCCACCATTCTGCCTCACATCCCTTAGAGGACTTCCTGGGATTGTTGGTGGGGCCCCCTTTCTATCACTAAGAAATAACCACCACCAGTTCTTAAGCCCCGCTCAGGAGCCAGGCATCACGGGAACTTCTTTAGCCTATAAAGAATTGGTCATCCTAAGTGCAGGAGGAGCCCCCTCTACTGAAGGCCATGGAAGTGGTGGCAGGACTCACTAGGATGGGCTGGGAACTTCAGACCAGATACTTCCTACATGTTTGATCTTGAGTGAATTCCCCTCTGTGCCTTCATTTCCTGCTCTATAAAACGTGGTTCCATCACCATGAGGAGACACTAACAAAACGTGTCTGACAGCTCCTAGCTCAGTACTTGGCACAGGACAGTGCTACATGGTGACTGGTGTTCTGACAGGTGCTCGGACAGATGTTCTGACAGGTGTTCTGACAGGTGCTCGGACAGATGTTCTGACAGGTGTTCTGACAGGGGATGTCCCCAGACTTTTGAGGAGTCAGCCACCCACACCACATCCCCTACATGTAGGTGAGGCCTTTGCTGCTCTGCCAAGCTCCCCTAGTTCCTGCCCCGGGTCTCCCACTTTCCAGGGTACTCACTCCACTTCTTCCAGGCAGGGACATTTCTGGAGTAGCTCCACAAGGGTTTCTGCATCATGGACCCTGAGCTGACATCTCTGAAGCCTGGGATAGGAAGAGAGGAGATCAGGGGAAAACCCTGGTCCTTCCTATCCTGAGCCAGACAAGTCCTGAGGGTGCAGACCTAGGGGTCTGTGTACCTCTAGTAGAGGAGTGATCTTATTCAAGGCACTTCGTCTGTCTGTGACTCAGTTTCTTCCTCTACCAAACTAGAGTAATACATGTCATTCATGAGGGTCCTAAAAGACTTTCCACAAAGTACCAGCCACCTCTGAGCACAGTGCCCCACATATAGCAAGGGCCCATTCAGCTGGAGCTCTTGTTGACATATGCATGCCCTTTCTTTGTCACTGCATCTGCTTTCCTTGTGCTCCTCCCTGCCCATCCTCCCTCTCCTGGGAAAGGGCCATCCCTCCATTATCATTTTCTGAGGGCAATGGGCCCTGCTGAGGTACCTGAGTTCCAGGCTCTGTCTTTCTTCCTTCAGGCTGTCTTTGTCCTGTAGGTTTGATGCTCTGCAAAGAACAGATTACACACTAGCTTGGGCTCAGAAGCTAGACACTGATGAACTGAACCTCTTTGCTTGACATCTAGGGTCTGAAGAGCCTTCAGCACCTCCTGGGGTGAGTTAGTCCCAAAGACAGAGCTGGAAGGCACTCAAAGTGCAACTAGGAGAAGCCGCAGGAGCAAAGGGCTTGGGGTCTTCATTCCAATGCGCTCTCTCCCATATGCGGCTGTGCGGGTTTTGGCAAATCACATAACCCATCAGACTTTTCAGTTTCTATTTCCTAAAGTCGCCAAACTAGCATCCCTTTGATGTGATCTTTGGCTCAGAAGACAGGGATCATGCACTGCCACAGGCAGGTCCAGGCAGAGGGGAGCTACAGCCCCTTCCGGACTCTCAGACAGGGAGAGGAGAGTGCCAGGGACTGCAGAGAATCTTGGGCTATACCATACGCCAATTTCCATAAACTTAGAGATTTGAAATGTCTGCAGAACCTTTTTACAATAATAGAACTGTTCTCCCGCTGTGTCATCTGCCACGGGAAGGACCTGTGGCCATCACCGAGCCCTGGAAGGGTGGTACATGCAACTGATAGACTGAAGTCACTTCATTTTCGTTGTCGCAGTGGCTGGCAATGGCTACACTGGGTGTCAGAGCTTTAGACATCTGGAGGGGTGTAGGGAGTGACCTTGGTACAACTGGGTCATGGCGCAGATGGGGAGATTGAAGCTGGGATAGTCAGGGAGGAGTGTGGGGAACTTGGGAGGAGTGTTCCCTCAGAGGGAGAACCTTCCATGTCTTCACCTGCCCAGTGGGGGGGGGGTGCACATGGAGATCTATGCATGTCCAGCATCTGAATGCTGGTGGCGGGCCAGTGTCTGGAACATGTTAGACACATTTGGTCCTCCCATTCCCCAGGCAGCCCTAAGGTGTGGCTCACTAACTTCTCCTTTATCTTTCTTTCAGTCTGAAGAATGTTTCAGCTTCAGTTTCTTCACCTTCTCCCTACAGACCTGGCTCACTCTGAGACCCTGGGCATACTCTCTAGCCAGGGGTCAGATTACTCCAGACACATGGGAGGGAGGGGGAGCACTGCTCTGCCAGCCCTGAGCAGGAATTCGCACGGCAGCAGGGAGAGTCTTCCTACTTCCCCTCTAGGTTCCCACCCTCACCTTCCCAGCCCGGACCCCTTCTCAGGACTAGCTGGGGCCATGCCTCCTGAGTTACTTACCCTGACTGCTGCACAGCTGTCTCTGCAATCGGGGACAGAAGGAAGATGAAGTCGGACTCCCTAGAGGGTCAAACACAAAGCCACGATATCTAGGAACTGGAAGTCACCACTGCCCAGCTGTCACCCACCCCCGCCCCAACCATCCAGGGAAAGTATTTCCTGGCCCATAGAGAAACAAGAAAATGGGAAAGAGTGCCCTAGCACAGGTTCTAAGTTCTCTGCCACCCGCGAGTCTGCTTTTGAAAGGTCAGAAAGATGATGTTGGAGGGGTCTTTGTTTAGTTTTGTTTTGGTTCTTTTTTTTTTTTTTTTTTTTTTAAGACAAGGTGCCATGTAAACCAGACTGGCCCTGAATGCACTATTAATTGAGGCTAGCCTTGGACTCCTAATCCTCCTGAGTCCTGGTATTGCCACTGTGTATCACCATGTCCTCTGAGAGCTTTTAAAAATGAGAATTACATTTGTATTCAGATTAAGAAGCCTGATGGCTAACCTGTTTCAGTACCACGGAGAGCGACACGGCGCTAACTATTCTTTTGGCTCCGCAATGTTGTTCAGCCATCCGTCCACGCAACTTTCCACCCAATTGCCATTAATAAAGCACCAGACCCAAGCCACCCTCTGAATTAAGCTGATTCTGGCATGCACACTCAGATCTTGTAAACTAGGGACCTCCTCTTTTCCCATCCCTCACTCCCTCTGTCCCTTTCCTTTTTTCCCAAGACCTTGAAAATCTGCTCACCTGACCTGCAGCTTTCTGACAGTAGGACACGTGATGGCCACCTTCACCGCGGACAGCAATGCTGACACGGAGACGCTGTTTCTGCTCAGGCTGCGCAATTGCGGCAAAGTGTCAGGGCTGGATGCCCTTGACATGGTCGACAAAGGAAAGACCCATGGTCCCAGGAAAAGGGAATGGCTGAGGGTCAAGATCACTTACTCAAGTTTCTGGAGCTTTGGCAGGCAAGGGAGCAGCTCCACAAGGCTCATCACCTCTGGGTCCTTCAGCTGGTTGTCATGCAAGCTGCAGGGAGACCAAGACCTAATCCCTCAGGTGGGGGGGGGGATGGGCACTAGGAAGCCCCAGGTGGTGGGTGACAGTCTTATAAAGTGAGGTATGGTGATTCAGTGACCTGTTTCCAGGCCTTAGGTGTACAGTGTGCCTGAGTCCTGAGTTCGCCAACATCCCAGGGGACTACTGAAGTCTCTCTGGGGGACTAAAGACTCTACTTCTGGTGTCAGCTCTGGCCACAGCTCCCCAGAGTCCAGGACAACCACTCCAACCTCACTATCTCTTTCTGAAATCCCAGCTGGAGGGGCAGATGGATAAATGGTATAAGAATGATTGAGAGCAACAGGGGACATTGGAAATAAATAAATAAATAAATGGGTGATAGGAGCCAAGATTAAGGCCACTCAATAACCAAAAGAGAGAGTTTTGATAAGATCAATGGTTTAAATCTTCATTTAAACCATAGTGACCACTGAACAAAGGCATCAGAGGGAACGGCAGAGACTGGCCAGCTTGTGTTCCAGTCTGTAAGTGTTGTATTCTATACTTCTTCCTGGGCCAGCCTGCTTAGATTCAGGGGTTGCCTTTCTGAACTTCAGGAAGGAGCTGTATAAGGCTGTAGAAGACCAAGGATTTTGCTGAGATTTTGTCTCCTAGCAATGTTAGAAGCTATACTCATACAGATTCACCAACATGATTGCCTAAACATGAGCCTAACGAGGACAGCATCAACAGACAGATTAATGTGGATGGGAGAAAGTCTGTGACACCGCTACTCTACACAAAGAACTATAGGCAACTGAATGCTAAGAGTGGGAGAAACAGTCTCCCCAATTGGTTATCCAATACCAAATGGTCGGCCGTGGAAACATACATACAAGTAACAAGTAACATTTACCGACAGAGAGGGTTATATTTAGGAATATATATGCATATACATTTATGTATATGGATGCAATAACAATTAAAAAAAAGAGGCCATGAATCTGAAAGAGATCAAGGAGGGGTATATAGGAGGGCTTGGAGGGAGGAAAGGGAAGGGAGAAATGATAAATTATATTATAATCTCAAAAAGAAACAAATAAAATTAAAAGAAAGTATTTTTTAAAAAGACTGTAGCAGAGAGTCCCTGGTTCCACCTTTCTCTGAAACAATCAATTCCAGACACAAGCAAGAGGTATATTGTGCAGATATGCCCAGTCAGTGTGTGTGCATCTCAGTGTGCCTGCATGTGCCACACATGTACACATCTGTGACAGGTATGTGACACACCCTTGAGTTTGAATGATATTTTTGTGCAAGTGTGTATCCAAGTGCAGCATGTTAAGTCGTACATTGTATGCATTTATGTCTCCCCCACGGTACCTGCCTTCTGCCTAGATACTGTAATCCCTTTTTCTAGGGTCACAGAATGAGGGGAGGGAGCCCAAAACTCATAATCCTCCAAGGTGGTCCCAAATATGTGCACTGCTGGAATCTCAGAGGCATTCTTACAGATCTGATCCACCTCATTCTTAGACTGATGGCTCCCGCTCTCTGGTCATCTTGGATGGAATATGCAGGCCCCAGGGGTGTCCTAAAAGCTGGAAAGTGGCCCTTCCCCAAAGCAAAAGAGCCCTTTTAGAGGCCACTCACCTGACCTCCTCCAGCTGGAAACAGAGGGGCAAAGCCTGTACCAGGTGCCTGATGCCTTGGGCTGTGATCTTACTTCCTGTTAACCTACAGAACAAAGATGGTAGAGGAATGGGGGCAGAGAACGGGGCTGGCCAGGAATCTGTCTGTGCAGAACTAAGCAGGGAAAAGTATGCCAGATATCCTTCTTCGCATATCTTGCTTGCAAGCCTTGGCTCACCCTAGTATCTTCAGGCTCCCCATAGTAGGCAAGCTCCTGCCCAGGGCTTCTGCAAAGGCATCCCCACACTTTCTGCTTTTAAAGCTGCAGGAGAGAAGCAAAACGAGTCAGTGAGGGACAGGGCTTAGAAACTGGTAGTACTCCACCAGCAGTGTCCATGGGGACAGATGGGGCATCACGGTAGCACGGGTTATCATTGTAGCTGCTGGGGTAGCAAGAAGCACAGCTTACAGCAATGGCTTCTTTATCGGCCAAATCGGTTCTCCCCTTCATCCATAGAAATACAGTCACATAGAGTTTAAATCATGACAAGCAAGGATCATGCATGCGTGCAAACTTACTGCTCACGTAGCGGCCAGAGGTCTTTATCACTTTTCCGTTTGTGTGTGTGTTTGTTTGTTTGTTTGTTTGTTTGTTTTTCTACCACTAGTCCTGAAACTCATTCTAGCTTAGGTTGGACTGGCTGACAGCGAGGTCTGGGGCATCCATCTGTCTCTGTCCCTCACCTCTTCTGCTACAGGCATGAGAGGCTATGCTTACTTTTTGCATAGGCGCTGGGGACTTGAACTCAGGTCCTGTTGCTTTTACAGGAAGCCCTCGCAGATACTGAGCTATCTCCCCAGACTCAAGACACTCTCTTAGAACCAGAAGCAACAGCAAAGTGCTAATGATCAAAATGGGCAGAGACCTTAGCCGAGGTACGATTTCACTTCGCAAATCGGTCTAAAAGGGATTTTAAATGATAAAACTAACTCAGTAGGCTGGACTGCCTTGTTACAATGCTAATAATATACTAAAATCTGTGAAGTGTTTTCAGCCTATTGACACTGATAACAAGTTTGTAAATGAAACCTGGTGTTGATGTGAAGGGTGGGGAAGAACAAGAAATGGCGCTCTAGCTGGAAGTAGTTCACCAGCCAGCAGTGACATTTCCAGCTTCCCTTGCAGCCCAGAGTGGCTGTGTGACTAGGTTCTCAGCCATGCAACGTGACTAGAAGGGATGTGTTCCACTTCCACGGTGACCTTTAAACACATTCCTCTAAAGTCACCTTTTCCCTTCCTCCAAGTCAGGGCACAGAGACACCCATGGCTCAGCACTGATCCTACAGCTAGGATGTCTGAGGGATGCTGGAGCAAGGACCAGGGTCCCTGCATGACCACATGGAGCAGAACAAACTACCTGCTTGAACCACCTACTTCTGACTTGTGCATCACTTGTCCATGACTCCAACAGGACTTCCCCCGCTGTATCTGGAGAGGCTCACACTGGGACTACACCTTTGCTCTTTCTAACAGAAACGGAGCCTCGGTTCTGGACCAGATGCCAGGTTGAGAAGCCTGTCTGACTTGAGTACTCACTGCAGTAAGGAGAAACACCCTCGAGGGAGGTAACATATAATTTGTTCAAGGTCAAGCAGCCTTGAGCAATGTAGCCCAGATCCAGCACTCCAGTCCCTGACTGCCAGAGAGACGTGAGAGTCAGGAAGCCACAGGCACCTGGACTCCAGGAGCCGGGTCAAGGTGAGCAGCTGCCCCACCGTGTTACACACTAAATGAAGATGGAGCGTGCTTTTCGGATGGCCAAGACTTGAATCCAGTCTCTCTGGTGGACTGGTTGACCTCCCGCTTTCCCAAAGCACAGTGCCCTCCCCCACCCTCCCCTGCCTCTCTTCTGATTTGACTCACCTGAGATTCTCAACTTGACCACATCCTACCAGAGCCTCTGGGCATTGGGGCTCCAGTGGGCAGCCATCAAAATCCAGGTGAATGGGGGCAACCCTGTGCTCCAAAATGTTGGCCAGTGCAGCCAGGTCTGCACGGGTCAGTGGGAGATTGTGGAAGGAGAGCTGGACGGGGAGGTTTTGGGCAGTGAACTGCGCCAGCTCCAGCTCCTGGGTCTCAGCCACACAGTGATACAATTCTATCATCTTTGGCCCCGTAAGCTTCCGGCTAGCCAGCTTCCTCAGCACCTGAACAACAGCAGCCTGCCTGGAGCTCACCCAGGCTTCCTCTTGTTGAGCCAGGTGGCAAAGGAATGCACGACAGTTGTGGGATGCCAGGCCTGCCAGGAAGGTAGAGAGATGGTCGGAGAGGCCCAGCCTAGCTTTGGTCCGCAGCACCCAATGGGAATTGAGTGTGACATAGTAGGTGAGTGTTTCTTTGTCTACCGTGTCACTGGCCATCAGATACAGAGCGGCAAAGAACTCTTGCAGGCTAAGGTGGGCAAAGGCATAGCCTATTTCTTGGTGCTCAGGGCTGGTACGAATACAGAAGGAGGTCAGGAGGCTGTGGGCCGCTCCAAAAGCCATCAGGGAAGGACTAATGTCTTTTTCCATAGAGAAAATGACCTTCCCAATGTCCAGTCTACTAAGGGCCACCTTCCCAAGGCCCAACAAGGATGTGGCAGGCAGAGTCCCATGGGGGCTAAACGTTTCCACCATCTGCAGGAACAGCTGGGTTACGGTGGGCAGGAGGGCCGTAGACTGCCCTGGAGGGCTTCCGGGAAGCAGGCGGCCGAGGCAGAAGCAGGCGACCCTGCACAGTGCAGGTACTGCACACATTCCCCGGAGGCGCTCATTGGCTCTCATTTCCGCCAGGGCCAGCTCCTGTAACAGCAGGTCACTGAAGAAGTGGCTGGCGTACTTCTCTATCCGCTGCCCATCAAAGCCCCACATGTACACCATGGCGGCCTCTGTGGGCACACAGGCAGGCAGTTTCCCAGGACGAGAGGTGGCCAGCACCCAGCAGCCCGGCAGGAGGGTCCCACGGCAGAGGTCGGAGAAGAGGGCGAGGGCTGAACCTCTGTTGTCAGCGCCCGTGGAACTAGCATGGAGGATCTCGTCCAGCCCATCAAAGATGAGCAGGACTTGGTGGGCATTCTCCTCCAGGTACTGAAAAACAGCATCAGGGTTTGACTCGGGGCTCAGGCACTGATCAAAAAGGAGCTGGGGCAGTGTCAGCGAATGTGTGATCAGGTTGAGCCGGCGGAACTCAAAAAGGAACAGAGCCCGGAAGCGGTCCAGCTGACCGTCAGCCCACCTCCAGCAGAGCCGACGTGCCAGCGTGGTCTTGCCCATCCCAGCCTTTCCCAGCAGGACTGTCACTCGAGGTCCCTTGGGGGCCTTGAAATTGAAGAGATCCTGGAAGCTCACATCAGTGTCGTCTGTGGCCTCGGGGTCTTCTTTAGTGGCTCCCTCCTGAACGTCCAAGGGTGCTGTACCCCGGCTCCACTGTAGAATTGGGGGGATGTAGACTTGTGGGGAGGCACGAGTACGCCTTGCTCCTGGGCATTCACCGCCATGGTACTGCTGGGCAGAGGTCTTCAGGAGCTTCAGATACTTCTCAGCGAGCTCTGCAAGGGGCACAGCAGTGGCATGAAGGCAGGAGTTCTCACGTCGATATGTCCTGGGACCCGTTGATCAGGCTGCTACTGTCTTTGGTCCCAGCTATGGGGACATTGGGGCAATCATTAAGGGCACAATGGATGATCTTAGGTCACACATAGCTCCAGAGGGAATGGGCTGCAGAGCAGCATGGGCTCCGAAGCCTCTCACTCAGGGAGGTGGGGATGGGCCCTTGGGTCACAACTCTCTCTTCTAGGGCAATACAGGTGATGCCGTTTTCAGTAAACTGGGGGAGGTTGCTTGCTTTGCAAAATCTATGGGGACCAGCTCTAAGATGGCAAAGGCACCTGCATCCTTCCTTTGAGAGTGGGCACCAACAAACGACAGGCTTTCTACTAGTCAATTAGACCATGGGAACTGGGCTTCTGCTATGCCAAGTCTTCCTTCCTTCCTTCCTTCCTTCCTTCCTTCCTTCCTTCCTTCCTTCCTTCCTTCCTTCCTTCCTTTCTGGGTCATTGGGAAGATGCAGCCCCCACCTCTGCCCCAGAAAGGACTGCAGTAGTGGTCTGTTTTGCAAAGACATAAATTTTCTGGTTATGCCCATAGCTGGTGAAGTATATATGCATGTGAGGGTTGGGCCAAGGATTATTCTGGACTACTGGCAGAGGATGAAGGAAGTTTCCCCTCTCCTTTGCCCCATGACCACCCCAGATACTCTGTGTCTCCAAGGAGCTCCTATCTGGGGGTTCGCCAAGGTGCCTTTATCACCTCCATCCTCACTCACCCTCCAACATGGCCACTGAAGGCCCAGGCCTGAGGTTACACTGGTTACCACCTGATGTTCCCATAACCTTGAGGACAGTCTGGAAGAGCCTAGGTGACCAATCTGGCCCTTGAGGTACCCTGTCTCCTCCTCTGCTCATTCAGGACCTTCAGTATCACTCCTGGAGTTTTGGAAAACAAGCCCCTGGACCTCAGAAGCTTTTCAGCCAGGAACAAGGCCCAGCACCTGTCTGTGATCAACCTCAGGACAACCCAGTCTTATGCAGGGGTTTCTACTCCCATAACTCACCTAGCTGCTGCTTCCTGCAGTGCTTCCGGCGGGGTGAGGACCCATAGCTCTGAAAAGGGCGCTTGACACCTGGAAAGAGAGGAATGAGGACATAGGGGAGAGAAGGGGAACCCAGGCAGAAGATTTGGGGTGCTCTATTCCACAAGTGGGCCTAGGAAGAGAAGTATGGGACACCTGGGAATTATGAGAAGGCCATTTCCGTGGTTTTACCAGAAGCTTCAGGCTCGGGGCCAGGATAAAGCGAGCAGGCCCACAGCAGGATATTCTAAGCGCCATGTCCACCAGGAAAGGGTCAGGCTCTGTGAATCTTTCAGTTACCTATTTGAGCCTGTAACTGGTCCTTGAGAATACACGTCAACACCATGACATGATACCTGCCTTCCTAGAATTCCACGAGGGAACAGGGACATGAGAACAGGCTCTCTGGGTGACACCTGATGGGGGATCTAGAAGGCTGAGGCTAGCTACACTCAGAGTCTCTCCTGGGGACCCAAATTAGATTCCTGGTAAAAGGCAGTGGGGGCAGGCCTTGAAAGTCACAGAGAGGGAGGAAGTGGGGCTTGGCCCATGTGCCGCAGAAGAAATGATGGTCACTAGCCACCACTAGCTTAAGGTGAAGACTGAGCATAACAGTTGGCACCCTGAGCCCTAACCCCAGATCTCACCGTGGTGAAGCGGAGGTCCAGGATGGCTGTCCTCACCAGCTCCTAACTGCTTAGAGAGTTCTGTAAAACAGAGCAGAACACGTGTCACCGGGAATGCAGGATAGATAGTGTCAAGAGGATATAGGGTGCCCGGATAGCTCTGAGTGGTATCTGTTCTGGGAGCAGCCATAGGTTCCATAGATTAAAAACTGACACCCAGTCATCTCTCAGGGAAGCAGGTGGTGCACTCTGCATGCAACAACATGCAGAAGTGTACATGTATATATATATATATATATATATATATATATATACACGTGTGTATCTCAGTAAGGATGCATGTCTTCACACATATATGTGTGTACTTGCTCACATGCCTGTGTGAGCTGTCTGTTCATGTGTATGCGAGTATATGTCCCCGCCTCCACACTAATAGAGCTCATGGGTGGGGTCTCACTTTCTATCCAAGGACTCCTTGTCCCTCGTTATCTCATGCTCCTCCTTAGTGCATGCTCAAGATGGTACTGAATGGGATAGTCAACCTCCCTGTTTATTAGTAGGTACTGAGGTCTTCTGACTGCGCCGCAGAAGGAAGCCTCTTGGTCACTGCAGGCACCTGGGATGTACGGCTATTCTATGTCCTCTCTGTGTGACCAGATGGGTCAGTGGGGGCAGGGACGGGGAGGCTGAAGCTCTGCAGGTCACAAGGCTGTGCTGGCAGCCTCGCACTTCCCGTGTGGACCCTTACCATCTTTTGGGCCCCAGATGCTCAGCAGTGGTACCTCCAGCTCTAGAGGCACGTCAAGCTCCATGCACAGACTATGGATGAAAGACTCCCAGGTGGCCCGGCTCTGGGTGTGCAGCTTCCTGAGCTGAACATCAATGCTCTCAGGGTCAAGGGCCTTGCTGCCATCCAGGTCCACGGTAGGGAGGTAGAACCTAACCTTGGCACTCAGCCATTCTGAGTTTTTACTCAGCAGACTCACAAGCCTGGTCCACAGGTTCTCAGTGTTCAGTCGGAGACTCTCAGAGTCCATCAGAGGCTGGCCCTGTGGAGATGAGGGGAAACGGGTGAGCTTGGGGGTGGGTGAGTGGGAGGTAGGCAGGCTGGGGTATATGGTCTATGGTGATTTCTGTTAACTGTCAATCTGGAAGATGGGCCTCTGGCTATACATGTGGAGGATTGTCTGCACTACATGAATTGATATGGGAGGCCCCATCTTGATGTGGATGGAACAATTCCCTGGGCAGGGGACCCTGGACTGTCTAGAGGGCAGGGAGGGGACCGAGCACTGGCATTAATCACTCTGCTTGCTGACAGTGGATAAGACCAACAGCATCACATTCCTGCCGCCCTGACCTCCCAGTGTAATGGACTGGACCCTTGGGCATCACATTCCTGCCACCCTGACCTCCCAATGTAATGGACTGGACCCTTGGGCATCACACTCTTGCCGTTTGACCTCCCAGTATAATGGACTCTACCCTTGGGCATCACACTCCTGCCGCCCGGACCTCCCAAGTAATAATGGGCTGTACTCTATCTATCGTCAGTGTATTGTATCACAGCAACAGAAAGTAGCCTGCTGTGTCTGCTCACAATCAGCTTTAGGGACAGGTCTGCTTCTGTACCCTCCCCTGATCTGTAAACACACACACACACACACACACACACACACACACACACACGCTAAGCAGAACAGTTTACCAGTTCTTCAAAATATACCAGGCTCTGAGGATGCTGTTTCCATGGATCATCTGTGCTGCTTCAGTCTGGGTTCATCTCACGACAGAGACGTCTAGCCACCCACTAATACTGTTCTTTCTTAGAACTATAACTCCCAACTGTTCCCTGAATATCCAGAATAGACTTGACCCCCCAGGCTCCCTAATAGTTAGACACAGCCACATGATGGGAGTGGGGTTGGTCAGTGGGATGCAAGAGGAATGTTATCTGCTTTCCTTTGCTTCTTTCTGGTGGCTGGAATGTTAACAGGATACCTAGACCTTGGGCAATCCTGTTGGGTAATGGGGTCAAGGTCAGTGCTGAGGAACGTGTGAGTGAAGTTGCTCAGCTTCCCTGGACTCTGTGCCTTTAGCCCTCTATTATGTGCCTGAGAAGTACATTTTTATGTGGTTCAAAATCCTGTCAAGAAGTTCTGCATAAAGTGGACCCAGGTCTTAGCTACTACAAACCATCTGTGCTCTCTCTCTCTTTCTCTCTCTCTTTCTCTCTCTCTCTCCTCTCTGCTAGTTCTCTCTTTCCAAAAATGGAGTTTTAATTTATATTTATGTGTATGTGTCTGTGTGACCTATATAGGCCAGAAGAGGTCACTGGGTTCCCTGGAATTACAAGCAGTTCCTAGCTACCTGCTGTGGGTGTTGCGATCTAACTCTGGGATTTCTGGAAAAGCAGCAAGAACTCTTAACTGCTGAGCCATCTCTCCAGCCCGCTCTCCACCTCTAGATGGAAGCTTCAAAGAGCCTGCCGGAAAGAGTTCCCATAGATGGCAAGTGTCGTAAGGAGGCTGCTTGTTTGTCCCAGCCGCCCAGAACCAAAATAACCACACAGAAACTATATTATTTAAAATACTGCTCAGCCCACTAGCTCTAACTTCTTATTGGCTAACTCGTACACCTTAATTTAACCCATTTCTAGTAATCCGTGTATCGCCATGTGGCTGTGACTTACCGGCAAGATTCCAACCAGTGTCTGTCTCTGGTGGGGCTACACGGCTTCTCTCTGAATCTGCTCTCCTTCTCCCTGCATTCAGTTTAGTTTCCCCCACCTAGCTCTGTTCTACCCTATCAGGCCAAGTCAGTTTTTTTTTTTTTATTCATTAACCAACCGTATTCACAGCATACAAAGGGGAATCCCACATCATCAAAGGGCAGTCACAAAGCAGAAGCCTAAAATAATGAGCCGTGGTTTCTATGTAGTAAATCCATTTGAGTTGGAAGCCATCATGGATACACAACTTTTTAAATTATAAAACAGTGCATGGCACGATTATTTATAATAATTAAAAGTCAGAAGCAACATGAATCGCAAACAGTTGGAGGATGAGCTAATTAAATGGTGGTCTATATGATGGAATAAACTGTTTGGGGTATATTTCTCCATCAACACTAATGAAGTACATACTGTGTTAGGCATGGTATTCTCTGAGTATATTATCATAGATTAGCTAATCCTCAATTTGCAGAGCTAACACCTCTAACTCTAGAAAGAGTCGGGGAGGCCCACCTGGGAGCTGGCCTTGCTACCCCCACTGAATATCCTGGGTACTCAATGAGGGCTCCTTCCAGGCTCCTGTCCTCCATCAGACATCTAAGACTTGCCCCAGAGCTTACAAGTCATGTGCTCACATACACGATCCTTAGGCAGGGACCATTGTCCCTGGAGGAGATTCAGGCCAAGGAAGAGAGAAGGAAGCACCCAAGGTCACATACCAAGTTTGTGGCAGAGACAGGATCAGAATTAAGGGTTTTTTTTTTGGGGGGGGGGGAGGCTCCCAGGCCAGTAAACTTCCAAAGCCTTAGAGCCTCGGGTAGCATGAGACAAGACCTTTGTGTGATTGATTTTGTCCAAAAGATGTCCCGAGAACAAGGGCATGGCTTCCTTACTGGACTAGGCTGTCCGCTGCTTGGGAAAGAATCACCCAGGGCAGAAGGTGACAGATGAGAAGGAGGTCTGGACAGGTGAAGCTGGGCAGTTCCTTATCCTCACGTCAGCCTGACATGGAGGCTTTGTTTTGCCGTAGGTGTCCCACCTCTTGAGATAAGACACCAAACTCTTTAAGCAACCACCGCTGGCAGACGGTGCACATCTCACCATAAGAGACATTATGACTTCTGTGGAAACAACCTCTGGGACATAGTTTTGGCAAAACAATCCACGGCCCAGAGCCAGGAGATGATTACTGGCGTGGTTTAATACTAATTCTCTGTGGTAGATCTCAGGGACATTTACAGACACCCTGCTTCCTCCTTTCTGGTCCCTTGATGGTATCAATAAGGAACCATCCCTTAGCATTTGGGTGTGGCTGTGAAACTCCGTTTGTCTGGTAAACTGTTAAAAATTACACAGGTCACATTTGTGCAGATGTTTCACGAGCCAGTATGTGACTCACCCTGTCTCTGCTCCGCTGTGCCTTTTCAGATCATGGCTACTCCTTTAACCTGAGTGTGGGCCAGAGGACAATTCTGTGGGCCAGAGCTCCCCTCCATTCACAACAGCCAGAAAGGAAAGGGGGGAAACGAAACGCTGCTTTCGGGCGAGCTATTTGTTACCGCAGCGGGACCGGGCTGATACACTCACAGTGTGACTTTGAGCTAGGGTCTTCTCTGTCTGTTGTGGGGAGTGGAGGCAATCTTGGGTGAACGTGTGTTATTGACATGGACATGGCAAGCACCCCAACCTGAGACCTATGAAATGGCAAACTCCCTCCTGATGGCAGTATGAACAGGGTGAAAAACACGGACCACAGTTTCCTCCTGGATATTAGAGACTGCACCCCCACAGTGACCTCCCATTAAGACTAGCTAACCTCTCCTCCTTGTGCTATGCTTTATAAACATAGCCAAATTTCTAATTGCATAGTAGGTGCCCTCATCAGTGCAAGAAGAGCCCATCAGATCCTGCCTAGCACCCGGTGACCAAGCCCAGAGTCAAAGCCTCTACTCTGAATACATAGAATTCTAAGTCTCTGGCTTCTGATGCTCTAGTCCTCAGGGCGTGGAGCTATAAGTGCTATGTCTGTCAGACCTGCCCAGAGATCTTTGGCACTCTAGAGTCTGGACTGCCCACACCATTAGAACTTGTAGGCCATTCTTGGTTACCATGCATGGCAGCAAAAGGGTACAGCTGACTGGTGGCACAGGGGTGTGGGGGTTGACAGTCGTGGCCATAGGAGGGATGAGGAGGAATGAGCGGGAGGAGAAAGGAAAAGAGAGAAGAGAAAAAAAAAAACACCTACCTGGCTTCTTGGATCATGATAGATGGTCCAGCGTTCCCACGCAGAGGCTCTCTGGAGTGTCTGGGCCTTGTCTTAAGCCCTTCAGTTTGTGTCCTGTTTTCATAGTGCAGGTGCTAAAGGGAGAGAAGACATGATGCTCTCCTCTTCTTCCAGAGCCGTGAGGAACACTGCTGTGTCAAGAACTCTGGTTCCCACCCCTGCCCCTGCCCCTGCCCCTGCCCCTGCCCCTGCCCCTACTCCTGCCTTAGAGATATCTCTGAGGACACGGCCCACAGAAGTCCTCCACCCTCACAAACCAAATGAGTTCTTCCCAACCAAGATCTATATGTCGCTAGAGTTGGCACAACCTTCCTGGTGCCATCCTACTGGACCAGGAATGGAGGATGTACACACATACACACACATACACACATGTACACACACACACACACACACACACACACACACACACACGTCCTCCTAAACTCAGAGCCTGGGTGTCATAACGATTCCACAGCTGGATCCTGCTCTTGATTTGCACAACAGTGGAATAATCCTCACCACAATCACCAGCCTCCTCCCTCTCTCACAAAGTCCCCAGGAGGTCAGCCTTGTACCCTTCTTTCTCATGACTTTAAAGCTTTACTTTCTCATTTTTAATCATCAGAAAGTGCTGGGCATGGTGATGCATGGGCGTGTGTAATCTAGCACTTGCAAAGTGAACGCAGCAGGGTCAGGAGTTCAAGACTATCCTCAGTTACAGAGTGAGTTCAAGATCAGCCCGAGCTGCATAGACCCTGTCTAAAAGAAGAGCAGGCGGTGAAGCCTGAGCATGGTAGTACACCTTACTGTGGTACCAAGTTAATGTTCTCCCGAGTGCACGTGGTGCCGTGGAAACACCAGCGAGCAGGCTCGGAGATGGGGCTACACAGATGCACCGATGCTGTGAGGTGGAGCTTCTAGTGTCCCTATAAGAAGATGCAGGAAGCCACTGTCTCTTTCTCCACCCCCCCCCCATGGAAACACAGCAGGTGGCTGGGAGCCATCGCCAGACAACAGATGTGCTGGCTCTCAGATCTGGGTCTTTCCAGCTTCTGAGAGTGTGAGCAACAGTTGAGATCCAGACGGTGATATTCTGTTACAATCACAGTCTAAGACACACCTGCCCGTACCACAGAAAGCAGAAGGGAAAAAAATCTCTACAGTGAGATCAGGCAGAACACAAAGCCACTTGAAGTCCATCAGGACCCCAGAGTCCTTGATGAGATGACAAGAAGAGTCATTTGGATAAAAAAAAAAAAAAAAGCAAACCGATGTGTGACTATAGGGTGTAAATGTGACAGCAGCAGGCATTTTCAGTTAGATCTGGGTGGTTAAGGGCTCAGGCGGCAGTTCGGTGTACAGCACGTACGCATGTATTTAGCAAACACAAGACCCAGGGTCAATGCATGGGAACACACAAGACAGAAAAACTGAAGGCAATTTTATCAAAAGACCATTTCAGGGATAGGCAGGCAGTTATGTGGGGAAAGCTTTTAAGCACAGTTAAATATCTTCTATAGTGGCCGCCACTGTAAGGAACTTGGGTTAAAAACAGAAAAGAAATTGACCAAAGGAATGGAATAGAGTCCAAATGAGCTTCCTGCTCACTCAAAACTCACTAATCAGTGGGATTTGCCACCACAGCCAAGTAAAGAACAACTATTAAAAATTTATTTTGCTTTTTATTTACATGTAAGTGGTGGTGGTGGTGGTGGTGGTGGTGGTGTGTGTGTGTGTGTGTGTATGTGTGTGTGCACATGCACGTGGGGTGCTCTTGGATGTCGGAAAAGGGTATCAGATCCCCTGGAGCTACACCGAGAATGCGGCCAAGGACAAGCAATGACAGTATTTAGGGGAAAACAAACACATGTGTGTTTTATATTTGTGAATAGAGGGCTATTAAAAGAGCTCCAGGGAAAAGCTCTGTAAATTATTATTACAAGTAAATTACCGCACTCCCAAGTCACATGGCCATAGATCCCAAGGGTTAGTGCTACTCCCTGAAGTGGACAGCTGAGAAATAAACTTACCTGTCCTCCGTTGATGGGTGAGTCTGGTGTTCCTTTTTCTTTTGGAGGATGTCATAAAAGCCTGGTGGCCCCTCCCAGTCCCCAGCTTCACACCTGACTACCTACACATGTGCCTCAGCTGGAGGTCAAGGATATAATTCCTTAGCCAAATGCTCTTCCTCTTAGCCTGTGCTTTGTAGCTCTGTCGCTGTGAGATACACTAGTGTGTGTGTGTGTGTATGAATAAGAAGGCTGTGGTGGTTTGAATGAGAAGAGCTTGAATGTTTGGTTCACAGTTAGTGGAACTGTTTGAAAAGGATTGCAAGGTGCATTGTTGTTGGAGTGTGTGTGACATTGGGGGTGGGTTTTGAGGTTTCAAAAGCCTATGCCAGCCCCAGTCCCCACCCTCCCTGTAGATCAGGACCTAAGCTTTCAACTCCAGTTACAGTGGCATGCTGGCCCACTTCCCATCATGATGACCATGGACTAACCCTCTAGAACTGTAAACAAGCCTCCAATTAAATGCTTTCCTTTGTAAGAGTTGCCTTGGTTACAGTACGTCCTCACAGCAGTAGAGCAGTGACTAAGAGGGGAAGAAAGACTGTAAGAACTGTGTCTCCTAGAAATGACACGGAAGCTACACCCGTGATACCTCGACAATATGACTGCTAAACAAGACCTGAACAAGTTACAGACCAACAGACAGGCTAACATGGAAGTGGGGAATCTCACGGGGACACAGACAAGGACCTGTGGGCAATGAAGAAACACTGAGAGTGGAGTGTGGTGGTTTGAATGAAAATGCCTCCATAGGCTCATGGGGAGTAGCATTATTAGAGGGCAGGGCCTTGTTGGAGGAGGTGTGGCCTTGTTTGAGGAAGTGTGTCACTGGGGGTGGGCTTTAAGGTTTTAAATGCTCAAGCCAGGCCCACTGTCACTCTTTCTTCCTGCTGCCTATGGATCCAGATGTAGAACTCTCAGCTACCTCTCCAGCACCATGTCTGCCTATTAAATGCCATCATGCTTCCGGCCATGATGCTAATGGCCTAAACCTCTGAACTGTAAACCAATCCCAGCTTCTTTATAAGAGCTGTTGTGGTCATTGTGTCTCTTCACAGCAATAAAACCCTAACTATGACAGGGATGAACCCCACAACTAGTTATCCAATACTACATGGTCAACCCTGAAATCATATACTTTTAATATGTACATCTTGACTTTAAAATCATATAATCATCAACTTAAAAAAAAATTAGGAAACCAGCCAGGAGTGGTGACTGACCCCTTTAATCTGAGCACTCATGAGGCAGAAGCAGGTGGCTCTCTATGAGTCCGAGTACAGCCTGGTCTACATAGTGAGTTCCAGGACAAAGGACAAACAACAGACAGAAACAAAAGAATGCATAAAGACGGGAATGATAGTAAGCACAGGAAATGATTGCTGATGCTGTTGCCGGGCGGTGGTGGCGCATGCCTTTAATCCCAGCACTCGGGAGGCAGAAGCAGGCGGATCTCTGTGAGTTCGAGACCAGCCTGGTCTACAAGAGCTAGTTCCAGGACAGGCTCCAAAACCACAGAGAAACCCTGTCTCGAAAAACCAAAAGTAAATAAATAAATAAAATAAAAGTCCACTAAACACTGACATCCTAAAATGGAAATATGTAGGCAGTGGTGAAGATAAGAATTTGGACTGACTAGGAATGACTATTTAAACCAAAAAATAATTCAATAGAGAAAACACTTTATTTTACTTGTAACGTGTGTGTGTGTGTGTGTGTGTGTGTGTGTGTGTGTGTAAGAGAGAGAGACAAAAGACACCACATTTTCTTTGGAAATGAGGTTGGCAAGTGTGCATAAACAGTATGGTGAATATTTGCTGGACTCTATGTGAATACTTTATGGGGTTACCTCTTTTAATTCTCAATATTCCATTCAAAATTGTTTATTTCTCACGAAGGTAATTTATTGAGTCTGTCATGAACTTTGACCAAGAGATGAAGTTCAGATGTCCAATAAGCACGTGAAAAACTGTTCAACATCCTTAACCAGCAGAGAAATACTAATTGAAACTACACAAGGAAAATTAGGAAACAACCTTCCTCAAGACCCAGCAATACCACTTTTGGGTATATACCCAAAGGACGCTCAATCGTGCCACAAGGACATGTGCTCAACTATGTTCACAGCAGCATTATTTGTCATTGCCAGAACCTGGAAACAACCTAAATGCCCCTCAACTGAAGAATGGATAAAGACGATGTGGTACAATTACACAATAGAGTACTACACAGAGAAAAAAAAATGGCATCTTGAAATTTGCAGGCAAATGGATAGATCTAAAAAACATCATACTGAGTGATAAATATCATATGTACTCACTCATAAGTAGCTTTAGACATAAAGCAAAGAAAAACCAGCCTACAATTCACAATTCCAGAAAACCTAGACAACAAAGAGGACCCTAAGAGAGACGTATATAAATCTAATCTACATGGGAAGTAGAAAAAGACAAGATCTCCTAAGTAAATTAGGAGCGTGGGGATCATGGGAGAGGGTAGAAGGTGGAGAGGAAGGGAGGGAAGCGGAGAAAAATAAATAGCTCAGTAAAAACAATTAAAAAATGCTATGTCCCAAAGTGCCTTGGAAGGTCATTTTCTGTGCTGTGTGTTTATGACTGACGCTGTGTTGCAGGAAAAACAGAGGCAGATAGCTCTGGGTCTTCTGATTTCTTTCATGCTCCCATAACGAATGTGTTTGTTGCTTGAGAATCTGCATGGCAATAAAGGTGCATTTCTCAATTAAAAAAAAAACTACACCGAAGCCAGGTGGGACACACCTTTAATCCCAGCAGAGGCAGAGGCAGGTGGATCTCTCAGAGTTCGAGGCCCCCTGCTCTACAGGGTGAGTTCCAGGACAGTCAGGGCCATACAGAATAACCCAGTCTCAAAAAACAAAAAGACAAAAAAAGAAAAACAAAACAACCCAAAAACCAAAACAAAACAGAACCCTACACCAAGGACTGGACAGACAGCTCAGTGATTAAGAACACCAGTAGGTCTTCCAGAAGACTGGGGTTCAGTTC